ATAAATCTATATATATTAGTTATTATATAATTATACATCTGAGAGAATTCTGGTCAAACAAATAGAAAAGAATAAATAAACTAATATTTTTGATATTTAATAATTGAATGAAGGGTAACGGTAGCTTGACATAATATCTCCTGGTAAAGATATTAGAGAAAGCTGATCAGGGTTTAAAACCAGCTGGAGCAGATGGAACAGCTAAACCTGAGAGAAAGGAAGGAGAAAGCAACCTGTAGATTGGAGGATTGTCAGTTCTATCCTAAACCTCCGTTTACACGGGTATACACTATACAGTACAGTAGTATACCTGGAGAAACTAGAGTTTACGTCCTAACCATCCTCTTTACAGTTTATTTATATCCTCATATCTTTATTCTTGTCAACTTATGTCTGGTATTTAATATATTTACAGATAAACAAACATGTATCTTTATAGTAGTCATAGTATTAACACTTTTACAGATAGATATCAGGGGTTTTGATTAGTATAGTGTGTATATACTAGTATACATTATACAGATATCAGGATGTTGATTAGTATAGTTTGTTTATGCACTAGTATACAGTATACAGATATCAGGGTGTTGATTAGTTTAGTCTGTATATATACTAGTATACAGTATACAGATATCAGGGTGTTGATTAGTATAGTCTGTTTATATACTAGTATACATTATACAGATTTCAGAGGGTTGATTAGTATAGTCTGTATACATACTAGTATACAGTATACAGATATCAGGGTGTTGATTAGTATAGTCTGTTTATATACTAGTATACAGTGTACAGATCTCAGGGTGTTGATTAGTATAGTCTGTATATATACTAGTATACAGTATACAGATATCAGGGTGTTGATTAGTATAGTCTGTATATATACTATTATACAGTATACAGATCTCAGGATGTTAATTAGTATAGTATATTTATATATCCTAGTACAATATATACTCTGTAAAGATAGATTTAATCATCTTGTATCTTATCTTTGCTTAAGATACTGTTTACTAGTATTTTGAGAAGTATTTTATAATTCAAGATTATAAGGATTACGTTTTTACTCATATGTATTTAGAAAGACATAAATAAATATTAAATGATTCTACATATAACATAATCATAATCAAGGCAATTTTGGGAATGGAAAAATTTATGTTGTTAAAAAGAATGTTTGACAAAGGAAATGAGTCTTTGCCACAAATACCAACTTTCTAATACCCATATATCTACAACCAAATGATGTAAACCTTTTATATTTCAAACTTATATTGTTTGATGTAGCAGAAGTCATAGTTTGAAATATCTAAGGTCTACACCATTGGGTTATTAATATATAGGGATTTAAAATTCAGAGTTTGTGGCAAAAACTCAATTCCTTTCAAGTGATCTTACAATCCATTAAAAAGTTCTATACCCAACTTACAACTTACATTCCTAATTCACAACTGAACAACCCTTTAAACCTTTAACCTTGATCATAGAGGAGGAGAACTCAGTATATATATCTTTTAAATGTTGTTTAAAAAGTGCAAAATTGCCAGTTCTAGGAAGAAAATTTAAATTTTTCTTAAATGTAAAACAGCTTGCTAACAACGTATGGAACAATTACAAGCGTTTCTATAAATAAATGAGGAAAGTCTGTCATCCTTGAACACAGATCAGTCAAAGGTTCAAAGGGTTCCGTCGGGATTCGGGGATGCCTCTCTTTAAATTCAAGGTCACTTAAAATTACGCTTTTAGTCCCTTCAATCAACATAATATTATTAATAAATGTGTAAAATAAGAGTATTCTCAAATTTTACAAAGGGATAAACGCCAAATACATATCTTCGAAAAAAATGATCATATTATTGTACAAAATTTCTATAAATATATCCCAAATTTCTTTAAAAATAATCATATTCTTATCAAAAATTTCTATAAATATAATCCTATTCTTATCCCAAATTTCTTTAAGAATAATCATATTCTTTTCCAAAATTTCTTTAAAAATAATCATATTCTTATCCAAAATTTCTTTTTAAATAATCATGTTCTTATCCAAAATTTCTTTAAAAACAATTGATGGGAAGAACAAAACAGAATATAAATTTCTGGCTTAAAACTGATCCAGTTGCAATGTATCATACAGGGTTACCCACATATGATGAGGTTGTAAAGACGACATAAAACTCTTTAAATCGGACGAGTCCAAGGTTAAAATAACTACGAAATTCAAAACATTGTTTAGAATCCGTGGATAATACTAAAAAGAAAAAAGTATGGAATATTATTTATGCGTAGAAGATGGGTTCGGGGAATATATGTAGATAATTACTAAGTATTGCTAGGGGAACATGAGCTACTCGACATACACGTTTATTCACACAAAATCTGTTAATTATTCATTATTCCTACTAATACATTTCCTATTTCCTTTCCCAGTTCCTTTCCTTGTTTCTTTCCTAGTTCCTTACCTAATTCAATCCCTATTTCATTTACTTGTTACTTTCCTAGTTCCTTTCCTGATTTCTTCATCTTTTTTTCAGGTTTCTTACTTAATTTCTAATCCTGTTTGTTTCCCCAGCTCCTGTCATTTCATGCAAGAATTACCAGGGGATCTCCACTTCTTTTCTAAAAATATTGATTCTTTTCTCTTCTGATCTTCTAATCTTCTGATCCTCTGATATTCGGTTCTTCTGATCTTCTGATCTCTTGATCTACTGATCTTTCGATCGCCTGATCTCCTGATATCCTAATATCCTGATCTCCTGATCTTCTGATCTCCTGATATTCTGATCTCCTGATCTCCTAATCGCCTAATCGCCTGATCTCCTGATCTCCTGATCATCTGATCCTCTGATCTTCTGATCCCTGATATTCTGATCTTCTCATTGTCTGATCCCTGATCTTCTGATCTTCCGATCTTCTGATCTTCTGATCTTCTGATCTTCTGATCCCTGATCTTCTGATCTTCTGATCTTCTGATCCCTGATCTTCTGATCTTCTGATCTTCTGATCTTCTGATCTTCTGATCCCTGATCTTCTGATCTTCTGATCTTCTGATCACCTGATCTTCTGATCTCTAAACATATTTCAGATGTCTGGTACCGGACAGACCTGGCAGAAAGATGCCGCGGATCAAAACTTTGATTATATGTTCAAACTTCTTATCATTGGAAACAGTTCTGTTGGTAAAACGTCCTTCTTATTCAGGTAATGGATATAATTATTATTAAAGGGACTGCGGACATAAGAGAACCTCCATTTCTAGAGGGCTGATTCACATTGGCACCCTTTAAACCTGTGTTTAACATTTGTTTGCTGAAGGAAATGACAAACTATTTTGGATTGTGGATCTTTGTAAAAGAGACTTGCGGATTTATGCGGCAGAGAAACAGAAGGAAATTTAAAACATTTTAATCCAGCAAAGGGTTAAAGGGTCCCGTGATAAATCAGACATGTAAAGCTTTAAATTAAAAGAAAGGGATAATGAGAATGAGAGTGAAAATATGGAAACTGATGAAATAAAGTTATAATTAAGAAATGAGAGTGAAAATATGGAAACTGATGAAATAAAATTATAATTAAAAAATGAGAGTGAAAATATGAAAACTGATGAAATAAAGTTATAATTAAAAAATGAGAGTGAAAATATGGAAACTGATGAAATAAAGTTATAATTAAAAAATAAGAATGAAAATATGGAAACTGATGAAATAAAGTTATAATTAAAAAATAAGAATGAAAATATGGAAACTGATGAAATAAAGTTATAATTAAAAAATGAGAGGGGGAAAAAAGGGAAGAGAATGAGAGAAAGATAAGGAATACTGATACAATAGAAAAAAATTATGATAATGATATAGAAAATTCATATAGTGAGTGGGACAAAAATAAACCGAAAGTGATGAGTAAGGAATAAGAAATGAGAAAAAAATACCGAGTTTTTGTTTTATTGTTTGAAATGTGAAATATTATCTTTTCCTAAACTTCAGTAAACTTTTGTGAATTTAACATTTTGGATTGCGTCATAGATTTAATTTTTTATAAAAAACAAAACAATTTACATTAGTTTTTTTTTAGATATGCAGACGATAGTTTTACATCTGCCTTTGTTAGTACAGTTGGGATAGATTTCAAGGTGAAGACGGTTTTCAGACAGGATAAACGGGTTAAACTTCAGATTTGGGTAAGTAGCATCATTATATCTATCTATATCTATATGTGTATTTTACTTTTTTGTGGGACCTCACCTGACCCCAGGGAAGGTTTATGGATGATGGAATTTAAAAATTTGCCTCTAACAAAATTCGATTTTTAAAAATTTTCAAAATCAACAAAAAAATTTTATAATCCGTGTTTGTTTTTGTTTTGCAATTTATACAAAGAGAATTCACAATTAAAATAGAAGATGGCGCAAAGTTCCATAAAAGCAGGGGCGGATATAAGGTTTAAAATACATTTTTTTCTGAAAAATTAAAGGATATTAGCAAAGAACGGAAAATATGTATGCCTCACCTATTTTTTGTCCGGAAATGATGTTTTCATATTTTACTCCTAATTTGCAACTTTTTGTTGATAGGGAGCTGGGATTTTTAGGATCTACAACAAAAATTAACATTTTTAAAGTTGGGAACATGGCTATAGGTTTTAATTTGATTAAGGGATTGTGAAAAAAAGATTTTAATTAATACTTTAAAAAAAAAGAATTAAACAATGACAGACGAAAAGGTGTGGCCGGACGAAGTAATGGTGTGTTGTGACGTCATTNGGAGTGCATGAGTGCAAGGCTAGATAGCCTTTCCGTTTTCATGGTGTTCCGCAGCCATGTTAGCAACCTAATTATCAATATACATAAGTTCCGTTTCTATTTTTTGTTTAAATTTTAAACAGTTTTCAAAGCTTATAACTGTTTAGGCATCTGCAAAATGCCGCAAAAACTTTTACTATCATGAAAATGCACTTGAGTGCAGACTAATCAATAGGGAATGCATTTTTTTTTGAAGTAAACTGTAACTTCTAGAGGCAGCAAGTGGAGTAACCCCTGCTATTCAGGACCTGAATATATGTTCAGGGGTAATTACCTCTAGGATTCTAGGGGGGGGTATTTACCCCCAGGATTCTAGGGGGGGGTATTTACCCCCAGGATTCTAGGGGGGGGTATTTACCCCCAAGATTCTAGGGGGGGGTAAATAACCCCAATAACCCCCCTTATATCCGCCACTGCATAAAAGCCAAATATATATATGTTTGTTTGTATCCAATAAACGGAAAAAACTGCTAAACCGATCGGGCCCAAATTTTCTGTGGCAACTCACTTGAAAGGGAAGGTTTATCAAATTGAAAAATTTTGCCCAGAAATTAAGTTCGACATCTTTCTTTAAAAAAAGCACCAATTAAAATAAAAAATCTGGTAAATATGTTTTGTTGGGGTGGGCAATATTCAAGGGAAAAAGCTAAGTGTAAATCCTTGTTAAACAAGGGACCTAAAATGCTAGTATACACATATTCAGCTGGTCTTGGAAGTAAAAGGACAAATAGGTGGCTTGAAAATCAATAAAAGTTAAAGTTTCACTATAGGATAGGGGTGTGATGCGCCCTGAAAGACTAAGCTAACTCAAGGAAAGTTTATAAATAGTTTGATTTCTTTAAATTAAGAATTTACGATAACAAAATTTTGAAGATAAAATTAGTATTTCTTTATTTTAGTTCAAATTGTATTCGAATTTAAGGTCAAAAATGGAAATCTTTTATTTATGTAACAAAATGTCAGTTTATATGAACTATTGGAAAATAGTTAAAATAGAATACAAAGAAATTGAGTTTTTGTCAAAATTTTAAATTTTCCATTCCTATATCTTTGCAGCTTAAAGGTGTAAACCTATGATTTTTCAAACTTAGGTTATTTAATCTGACAGAAATTATAGTTTGAAATATCAAAGGTCTACAACATCAAATTGTAAAAATAAAGAGATTAGAAAATATGTGTTTGTGACAAAGACTCAATTCCTTTAAAATTTCAAGTTAATGGAAATCTCTGATTTAATTTTCAAAATTTCAGTTTAAAGGGAGTGACCGGCTATGTAAGGTAGTTGAACTGAGTATGCAGTGTTGTGAAAACCTTCTTTCGGATTCATTTGAGATATGTTAAACTTTTTAAAGATCTGTAAATCCTGATCGTTTGAGTGCAAATTCGTTCAAAACTCCTACTTTGGGGGTGGATACGTTTTCAGAATTAGTTTTTTTTAAATTATTAAATAACGACGACATAAAATGTAAAAAAAGTTCTACAATAAACTACAGACATGTTGAGAAAATAATAATTAATCTTATCATCGAAAATAAGTAATCTTGTTCAATTATTAGTTTCTATTTTCTCATTATTCACAAAGAATTTCGCAGATTTTCTAGAGTTATTATTGAAAAGACGACATTTGAAAAATTTGAAGAAATCTGCGAATAAATTCAAAGAAGATAAGAAATTTAATATAATAATGAAAACGAAATAACCGATTTTAGCATTGATTTATTGACAAATTTCTTTTGAGAAATATGTTCCTAACCATCTAATTAGATTACTGTATAATTTTTACTTTATTTTTCGATGTCGTTATATTTAATAATTAAAAAAAACTAATTCTGAAAATGTATCCACCCCCAAAGTAGGAGTTTTGAACGTCGAATTTGCGCTCAAACTCAGGATTTCCAGATCTTTAAATAGTTTCATATGTGCCAAATGAATCCGAAAGAAGTTTTACACAACACTGCTTACTCAGTTCAACTACCTTACATAGCCGGTCACTCCCTTTAAACATGTGAACCCTTAAGTTTTGAGTATTTGATTTTAGTTTTAGAGTAGAATTTCAGATTTCTATTTAAGGGCTGAAATGAATGTTTTTACTGAAAATTTAAATTCCAACTTTGAGAATCAATATGTACACTGCACTTGCTTCAAATAGCTATTTAAAGCAAGTTAATAGATTTTTCTTACAGTATATTCAAATATAACTGAGGAGTTGCCATTCTTGTCAGGTTGATAATTATATTATTATATACATTTCTCCCTACTTTTTAATAAACGACTGAACTGGTCAGGCCCAATTTTTTTATGATAACTCACATAACCTCGGGGAAGGGGATCAGAATGAAAAAAATGCCTTCGAAAAGATTCGATGAACACATTTTGGAAATAGGAAAATCTGCGAAATTTGTATCGTTATTTTTTGAAAATGTTTAAAGATGGGACATAGTTGTTTTATATATTGATATCTAAACCTAGAATATGAGGGTGAGAGTTGAATGTGGTAAACTACTAATTGAATATATATCAATGATAAAACAAGTAGTTTTATCTCTATATACTGCTGGTGTAATGAGGGCAGAAACCAGCAGGACATGGAGGAGCAGGAGGTGGGGAGGGGTAGCACCGGAGATGATGGAATGGAGGAGGTATATATCTACCACTCACTTCTCCCCACTTAAGTAGAAAATTGGTTCTTGGGTTTAAGAAAGAAAATAAGAATTGAAAAGATAAAGTGATATTTTTTAAAGAAAAGTATTCCTAACAGGATATAGATTTGCCTATTTCCTAAACGATGTCCATCAATTGCCGGCTTTTAGAAATTTAGTTCCACACTTCTTCAAAAATGACAGATATATTGCAAACTTGCTACAACCTTTTTCAATACTTGAAGAAGAAAAAAATGTGCAGAAAAATATCACAAGAACTTAGTTTAAAGGGACTGTCGAAGTAATTGCAAGCGACCCTCCATTTAACGAGTCACATGTCCGACTCACATTCATCTCTTTAAAAGAAGATAGTTTTTTGGTGTACTGTCATGCATACCGTACTGTGTTCTTTAGTTTGTATGTATGCTGCACAACTTCAACTTGCTTTAGCTGCCTTAAAGTCGGACTGATTCTCAAAAAAAAAACACAAAGTTTTCAGTGGATTGACAACAGTAACCCTTCTCCTATTTCATTCCTGTTTTTAGTTGTGGATTTTCACTACACTGCCCTATATAATACTTGATATCTATATAAATTATTTACATACTTTTGATATCGATGATTTTTATTTTTCACTTGAACACGGTTGTATAATGTATACAAACATCACGTTAATCCAGGTCTGCCCAACATTGCAAATATTGACATAAAGGGAGTATACATAGACCAATTCGACATGAGGGCTGTGGTAAAGGGAGTACATAGTCCAATTCTTCATGAGGGCTGTGGTAAAAGAAGTACATAGTCCAATTCTATATGAGGGCTGTGGTAAAGGGAGTACATAGACCAATTTTACATGAGGGCTGTGGTAAAGGAAGTACATAGTCCAATTCTACATGAGGGCTGTGGTAAAGGGAGTACATAGTCCAATTCTACATGAGGGCTGTGGTAAAGGGAGTACATAGTCCAATTCTATATGAGGGCTGTGGTAAAGGAAGTTAAATTCTCTTGAGGTTTGGGGAAAAGGGAGTTAAATTCACATGGGGGATTCCATTTTTTCTATTCTATATGAAGTGAAAAAATTTCCTATCCAGCCCTGCCCGCAGCGCTCTTCCACCCCCTCACGTTACCTAACCCTTAATGATGGGATAATAGTGTTTTTTTTTATCTAAATGTACATTGGAAAAATGACTCAAAAAGTCGTAATGCCAAGTTTTTCAAACAGGTCTTTGATTTTGTCCCAGTCTTTTACATTTTATCCCCTCCCCCTCTTAAAAAATTGAAGAAATAATAGTCGTTGACCCCTATTTTTATTATAATTAGATAAATCGCGACAATAACTACTAAATATTGTTTTTGAGTAGATATAGCAAAGGAAGATATAAATAATTAAATATTGATATATCGGTGTTTGTGCAGTTCTTATTGCAACCCTGTATTGCAATTTGTATTTGCAAAAATAGGTCACAATTGTACCTGATAATTAAACTTAACCGAAGTTGCGAATTTATATGAATCTTAATTTATTTCTGTGCAAAATTTTTCAAATGTTTGTTTTTGATAAAACAATTCTTAAAAATGATAAATAAAATCTCACGATACATCTTTTCTATATATATAATAAATCTCTTCGCCCATATATATAGATTTATATGTTAGCTAAAGCTAGACAAACGGCTGGACCAAATTGACTGAACTTTGTTCAGTACCCCAGGGGTAACATAGGCCAAAAAAATCGAAATTTTTCTAAGAAGTGTTTCTTACACGGTCAACACCGCGGGCACTTCAGCTAGTATATATTATATATATCTGTGCAGGGAAACAACTTTGCCCAATAGAAAAGTTTATCAAGAAAAAGTTTGTCTAAAAATACAAATAATAATAAATATTGATATTATACAAGCTCTATTGCTGCGACCTAGTGCCAGAAACAAGAATTCTATAATTTCTAATGTTCAGAAACCTAATCACTTACATTAAGTAAACCCAGTACAGTGTCTATGATACATTCATGTATTTACGTATTTTGAATTATTGACAATATTCAGAATAATGACCTGGTCTATACTAAGCATTTATTTTTTGTTCCCTGCAGGTTGAATATTAGTAACTAGGCTTTTAGGGCGATTCGCGCCCATCTTCTATAGTTCAAGTTTTAATGGTGGCTCTATCTGTGAGTGAATGCTGCATATTTTTCATACCTCTATTATGATTCGCTCACTACACTTTTTCTTTGTAACCCCCTCCCCTCTCCCTTACCTTTCGCCTACCATAAGCTGACTAACTGCAATCAATGTACAGATTTACCCGTAAAGAATGAGATTTAAAGGACGACTGTACGGAATTACGTCTAACCTTCTTCTTCAATTCTTCAAATATTCAAAGAGTCGTAAATCTCATTTTTTGTGGATATCCTTATATATATGTGTATTGTGTATTTAGGATACTGCTGGTCAAGAAAGATACAGAACTATAACTACAGCCTACTATAGAGGTGCTATGGGGTTTATACTAATGTATGATGTAACTAATGAAGAATCCTTTACAAGTGTACACGATTGGTGAGTGATTGATTTATACTTCTCAGATAGATATACAGGGAACTATTGGTTATTAATACTTAATATATAGATTGATAGATAGAAATTATTATTATATTATAAAGATTTATTCACACATAAAGATATACATACATAAATGGTGTAGTTTAAATTTGTTTAAACAATTTGAATAATAGTTTTACAAAAGTAAAAAGAAAAATATGCAAAATTATCACTCATTACATAGCATATTTATCATTTCAGTTATTACGTAATCATCGAATTCTTTAACATATAAATTATTCGTTCTTGTATTTAAAAGTTCTTGTAAAACCGGAACTTTCCATGCATGGTCCAAATGGACATCAAAATATTTCATTTGTTTCTTAACTAACATTTTACTAAGATCAGAAAGATTTACAGAACAATCATTTGCAATAGAAAAAAAATTTCTGCCAAGAACTGTGTTAAGGTCATTTTTGCATAGATAGATAGATAGATATATAGATAGATAAATAGACAGATAAATAGATAGATAGATAGACAGATAGATATAGATTAATATATAGACATATAGATAAATAGAGAGATAGATAAATAGAAAGATAGATAGATAGAGATATAGATAAAGAGAAATATATAAATATATATATAAATATGGATAGAAAGATAGATAAATAGATAAATAGATAGATAAATAGATAAATAAATAGATAAATAGATAAATACATAGATAGATATTTTAGTTTTTAAACTAAGCAGTTTAAAGAAATATGAATAGATAGATAGATAAATAGATAAATAGATATAAAGATGTAGAAAGATAGTAGAATTAATTAAATGATTGCTATACAGGCGTACTAAATGTTTTCGTTACTTCGATCTTGTATACATTCACCAAAGTTTTTATTTTCCAATTTATTTTTTTACAATTGAAGAACTTTGCAAGTTCTATTATTCATTTGTTTTCAATTTGCTGGATGATAAAGTTTTAGTGTTCGATAGGATGGATAGGATGGATAGGATGGATAGGATGGATAGGATGGATAGGATGGATAGGATGGATAGGATGGGTAGGATGGATAAAGGATGGATAGGATGGATAGGATGGATAGGATGGATAGGATGGATAGGATGGATAGGATGGATAGGATGGATAGGATGGATAGGATTGGATACTGGATAGGATGGAGAGGATGAATAACTTTATTTCCTATGTTCAGGTGTACCCAGATAAAAACCTACAGTTGGGATAATGCACAAGTAAGCAAAATCTTTGCAACTTTGCTTTATTGAAAATGATTCTATAATTGGAAAATGAAATCGGAAAATTAAATTAAAATTTTTTTCTTGAATGGACTTCAGATATTTATTGAAAACATTTTTGGTCAAAGAAGAAATTGTTAGCAGAAAATAATGAGAAACTAAAGTAAAAAGCAGGGTTCTAATTAAAAGTAAGATTAGAAATTATTTTTGCAAAAATAATCGAAGAAAAAACAAGTTTTAGTTCAAGATTTTTAAAAAATAGAATTTTAAATAAAGTCTTGAATCATAAAAAAGGTCGAATTTCTAGTGTAAAAATTTCTGAAAACCCAAAAATTCCAATTACTTAATTGTTAATTTTTTTCATACATGTCTGAAAATTTTATTTTTTTTGCAATATCTATAAAACTCACAAAAAAAGTAATTTTGTAATGTTCCAAACTAACAAAATTATCTTTTAGGTAATTCTGGTTGGCAACAAGTGCGATATGGAAGACGAGCGCGTTATCTCGTATGAGCGCGGGAAGCATCTAGCAGACAGCTTAGGCTTAGAGTTTTTCGAAACCAGTGCAAAGGAGAATATTAATGTCAGGGTAAGAACTTAGAATATTAATATCAGTTTAAGAACTAAGAATATTAATATTAGGGTTAGAACTAAGAATATTAATGTCAGGGTAAGAACTAAGAATATTAACGTCAGGGTAAGAACTAAGAATATTAATGTCAGGGTAAGAACTAAGAATATTAATGTCAGGGTAAGAACTAAGAATATTAATGCCAGGGTAAGAACTAAAAATATTTATATCTGGGTAAGAACTAAGAATATTTATATCAGGGTAAGAACTAAGAATATTTATATCAGGGTAAGAACTAAGAATATTAATGTCAGGGTAAGAACTAAGAATATTAATGTCAGGGTAAGAACTAAGAATATTAATATCAGGGTAAGAACGTAAATTATAACCGTCAGGGTAAGAACTAAGAATATTAATGTCAGGGTAAGAACTAAAAATATTAATGTCAGGGTAAGAACTAAGAATATTAATTTCAGGGTAAGAACTAAGAATATTAGTGTCAGGCTAAGAACTAAGAATATTAATGTCAGGCTAGCCATGAATGATATTATTCAGAATGTTAACTAAGAATCTGTAATGGTAGTCTTGAATTAATTACAGGATCAGTTGCGTTAAAATCTCTTCAAATCTTTTCGTTTTCAACTTAATTCCGAAATTGAGTAAAGTAAAACTTTTGATTGTTTTTTTTAAAAATCTGATTAAGGATGTTAAGTTGTCAGAAATGATCTATATCCTTTAAAAATCTATTATCTCTTTCTTGCAAACCCAGCTCGCTCTTATTTCAAGGGGATTATGCTCAACCACCGTCAAATAGAATTAAAACCTGCAAAATATATTTATGAAAGGAGCAACCAAGGTTCTTATTTACCACTCCCCTCTCTTCCCCTCCCTTCAATCTCTCTCTACTAGATATCTGGAAATCCTTCTCAAAAAAGCTCTACAAAGTCTGTGACACAGATTCTGATTTTTAATTCCTTCATCTTTGCAACCTAATGTCGTAGACTTTAGATATTTCAAAATATTAATTCCGTTAGATTGAATAAACTGAACCTAAAATGCCAACGGTTTACAACATCAGGTTGCAAAGATATAGGGTTTTGTATACATTTCTTTTACATTAGATACTTAATTGATGGTTTTGCCTTTTGGTCCTTAACTCAACAATCTTTAAAGAATTGTCTAAATATACTGGGATTAGGATCGAACTGTTAAATCTGAGATATTACGCTTTGTTTAATCAATTTTGGACTATGCATCATTTGAAAATAAATTCTTATTTTTTGTATTGGCCTTTGTCTTGCCTAGGTCGAAAACTTCATTGATTTGTGGCGTGAAAAAATGTCTATTTAGTTTTTTCTGATTTGAAAGTTATTGCTTCTATCTTAGAGTAAAATAAAAAAGATACAATTATAAAGTTCTAAAGAAAAAAAAAATATGTTTTTCATCGTTAACGAAAGAAAAACATATAAAAAAAATATTTTTAATTGAATACTAATGAAAAATCTATTGGATTCAATATATTCAGTCTTATATCATAAATTACTATTATTATTATTATTATTATTATCATTATTTTTTTATTATTATTATTATTATCATTATTATCATTATTATTATAATTCTAGGCTGTATTTGAACGGTTGGTGGATATGATCTGTGACAAGATGTCTGAATCCCTGGACGCGGATCCAGGTATAGGAGCTAAAGGAACAAGATTGACCGACACAGCGCAACCTTCAAACGTGAACTGTAACTGTTAATCAAATCTTCAAATCTACAGAAACACAATCAACAGATAATATTCAGCGAAATATATTAGATATGGTTGAATATATATATATCATATATATATATATATATTATGTTGATTAAATCTAGTGAAATGAATTAACAACAAATACAAACAAATTTTCTTTTCCGATGTTAAGTGCATAAACAACTATTTCTAGTCGATTTCAATTAGCTAAATATGTTGCATTGAAATTATTTCTCATCAAATATGATAAATAAAGGTTTTTGGTAAATTTTAGACATAAATTCAAATAAGGGGGTTCGGCGTGATTTTAAACAATCCTCCGTCTTTGAATAACATTGATGATTCACAACAGTGTTTTATCTTCCTTGTCATTGTTTGAGGTTAAAGAGAGAAATCTCAGTCATTTTCTTCGACTTTCAGAAAAAAACTGCAGGCCGCGAGATCATCAATTTTTTATCGGAAAATCAAAAATATCTCTATCAGCGATGTTACAAAGATTTGGCTTTACTGCTGTGAATTATTAATGGTAGTTTTTCAATGGAGACTCCCCTTAAATAACTTCAGTAGTCACTTTTATCATATTTTTATTGTTCTGTGTTTACAAGGGTCAATAACTATGTAGTACTAGACTACATCTTTCAACTAAAATTTAAAACAAACTATTAGTTCAGTAAATTTTCTGTTTAAAATAACTAATTTATGCTTTGCCCAATGGGAAAAATAAATTTTTGGACTAGAAAATGTTCCAAAAACATTTCTCACCCCTATAACCACTCTCAAAGGTCTTTATTGTATATAGTGTGTACAATTACAATGCAAAAAATGTCCAGTATTCCGCAATGTTTTTATAATAGAAAAAAGTTTCTCACGAGTAATATCAAGAAATATTTGACGAGGGTTTTAAATTCTTATTTTATTTATAATTTTCTCGCGTAAGAAGGAGTAAAGACATTAATCTTTAACTATTCACAGTTTCCACAAAAATTCAAAAATACAGTGAGTAGCATAATATTCTGGAACATGTTGATAATATTATAAATCTTTCTAAACTTTCTTTTTTTTTCAAACTGAGAACTCGGTTCAAACTTCTTTTCTGCATATCTTTGCAACCTGTTGGTGTAAACTTTTGGTATTTCAAAGGTTGACCAATTGGTTTAGAAGATTTTACAGGTCTTCGACATCAGGTTGTTAAGATATAAATTATAAATTAGAGTTTGAAGCGTGTGATCAGTTTCTTTGTGTTTAATAGCTCTTTTTTGTTTTCCTCCACGTTGTGAATGGAAAAATGGTGAAGTATATTGTTGTCACCAACATATATCCTACAAATGGAAGTTTATGAAGAATTAAGACGTAGATAAACTAGGTATAATTGGTTTAACTACTTCTTAAATAAGCCAACTAACTGATTAAAGCAAAATCGCCAATCATTTGTACTACTAGTTGTACTACTAGTTGTACTGCTATTTGTACTGCTAGTTGTACTAATAGTTGTACTAATAGTTGTACTGCTAGTTGTACTACTAGTTCTACTACTAGTTGTACTACTAGTTGTACTACTAGTTGTACTGCTAGTTGTACTGCTAGTTGTACCTTAGTTGTACTACTAGTTGTACTACTAGTTGTACTGCTAGTTGTACTACTAGTTGTACTGCTAGTTGTACCCCTAGTTGTACTGCTAGTTGTACTACTAGTTGTACTACTAGTTGTGCTACTAGTTGCACTGCTAGTTGTACTGCTAGTTGTACCCTAGTTGTACTACTAGTTGTACTACTAGTTGTACTCCTAGTTGTACTGCTAGTTGTACGCTAGTTGTACTCCTAGAAAGACTGTTCTGTTCCTAGTTTAGCTTTGTAAAGAAATGTGCCTAGAAACTAGATTAAATTATGAAATTTCTTAGTTTTTATTTCATATAAATTTTTCATATAAATTACTTCGGGTATTATAATCTTTTAGAATTTTTCAATTCACTTATTCATCTAAAAATATTTATTTAAAATCGTATAATTGTATGTTATCAATTTACCATCTTTTTGTAGCTTCATACTGGTAAATAATTTTCTGAATTTTTTGACAAATGAACGCACGATTCAGTATATTTTTTAATGTACTGCGTAGATTCAGGTTGATTTTTTCAATAGTTTTCAGATATCTTTAATTTTTAATAGAAATAAAAAGTTTCGTTTTTTAGGCAAAAATAAATGCACAAACCTATCTTGTTAAGAACAATCATTGCTTTTCCCAACTTTTACTTTTTTTAAATGACTTATTTCATCCGATAAATGTATCTGAAAGCTTTTTTATTTTTTGTAAAATATTTTATTATTTTCTTGAAATTCATCTATTCTACGACATATTAAAAACCTTAAACAGAAATTTATCGTCTACTAAAAGAAAATTAGATTAAAAATGTTTCAACATTGTTATAGCTTCGTTAAAAATATAATTCTTTTTATAATCCTAGAAAAGTTAGAGTTTTCAGCAACTTTCATCTTATTCAACTCAATCTTTTTTCAATGAAAATAATTATCTACTTTTCAAATTCTCTGAATGATGTCGTCCTCCCTCTCGTTTTTACGATATAACATTGTAAAAAGTTTCAGATTTGCAGACACAATGTTTTTGTAGAATATAAAGAGAATTCCTATGTACTGTGTAATTGTAATCTATGTTTAGATTTTGCTATAAATGTTTCATTCCAATATGTACATTAAATGTGTATTTTTACGACTTGAAGTTTAATTTGTGACATATCAAAATAAACAATGTTATCCTGATGAACTATTAAACAAGAGAAACCTAGACATTAGAGAAAAATAGATTTTCTTTCTTGGGACATCCTGTAAATTTTCCTATAAATCTAGTTTTTTTTTCTATACGTGGAATTGAGTAATTGGCATCAATTTATTTTTTTTTAATCACCCCTGAACTCAAAACTCTAATTTTTTTTGGAAACGTTTTGTTTTTTGTTGTTGAAGAGAAATGTATTTTCTCCCATGAGAACTCAATAATGTTGCTCTTCAAACAAAACATATTTTTACACTTCAATTATTTTCTATCTTCAGTACATATTTTAAGGCACAGGAAGAAAACTCGCATCAAACTATTATTTTTTTAACTACATTTATCTTGGCAACCTGATGTTAAAAACCTGTGATATTTCAAACTTTTAATTAAGCAAATTTTTTAGTTTGAAATGTAAAGGATCTATGCAGCCATTATGTTGAAAAGATGTAGAAATTAGAAAATTAGAGTTGTGGCGAGTTTTCATCTATTTTCTATTTTTGTAAACTTATATATAATGAAGCTCTTCGCTCATATATATTTATATGTTAGCTATAGGCGAAACAGCTGGACCGAATGGGCTGAATTTGTTTAGGAAACCCTTGAGATACCCCGGGGTATACACAGGTTAAACATTTTTTTTCAAAAGTTTGATTAAAAAAAATTCTTCAATTTCTATTTTTTTTAAATTCACGGGGAACCCCTCGAACTTCAACCAGTATATTTATAATTCTTGTAGAATTGTTATTGAATATTTATTGTTATTTCTCATCAAATACTTCTTGATTCTTCCTGGAACTCTCATCACAAACCGAATAGTTCTCATCACAAGCCGAATAGTTCTCATCGCAAACCGAATAGTTCTCATCACAAACCGAATAGTTCTCATCACAAACCGAATAGTCTCATTACAAACCGAATAGTTCTCATCGCAAACCGAATAGTTCTCATCACAAACCGAATAGTTCTCATCACAAACCGAATAGTTCTCATCACAAACCGAATAGCTCTCATCGCAAACCAAATAGTTCTCATTACAAACCGAATAGTTCTCATCGCAAACCAAATAGTTCTCATCACAAACCGAATAGTTCTCATCACAAACCGAATAGTTCTCATCGCAAACCGAATATTTCTCATCGCAAACCGAATGGTTATCATCGCAAACCGAATGGTTATCATCGCAAACCGAATAGTTCTCATCGCAAACCGAATAGTTCTCATCGCAAACCGAATAGTTCTCATCACAAACCGAAAAGCTCTCATCACAAACCGAATAGTTCTCATCGCAAACCAAATAGTTCTCATCACAAACCGAATAATTCTCATCACAAACCGAATAGTTCTCATAGGAAACTTATGATTCCCATCAGAAACCTTATGATCTTTATCAGACCCATTATAATTCTGATCGGAAACCTCTCAATTCTCAAAGATACCCTCTTAACTCTTATCGGAAACCTCTGAATTCTCAAAGTGATCCTCTTACCTCTCATTGGAGACCTCTTAATTCTCTTATGAAAAATTTGCATGTTCATAATTCGGTGACCGATGTCCGATTAAAAATTTGGGAGATTAAGAATTAATGAAATGAATCTCTATATCCTAGGTAAAGGGTTCAAGGGTACCATTGTAAACCGGGTATACCAATCTTGAAATAGCAACGACAGTCTGTTTGAGAGAGAAAATACAGAATTGTTATTCATTAATCAACCAATAGATGAAAAACAAATATATTGACTTGATGTTCATCTTTAGGTTTAGCGAGGAAGGGGGGGGGGTATATGTATAGAGACCAGAATATATATTAGAGTGGAATTTAGATAATCCCTCGGTATGAATTTTTTCACTCCCTTTCAGTCTGAAAGGGAGTATACAAATCATGTAAATGTTCACAAATTATATGCAATAGAGTAAATTAATACAGTATGTTCCCTAGACTATCCATTTCAATTTCGAATTGAAAGCTGTTAAATAAACTTTATAAAATGAATTAGGTGAATAAAAAACATCATTTGATTTATAGTTATAACGGAAAATCATCGTTTGTAAAGTGAAAGGCATATTTGTAAAATGATCATTGGTCAATTATGAAACGAGCCTATTTCATAATTTGGTTTTCTTTTAATATTAATTTTAGATTTTCTATAAAATGATATTCCAGGGCCCAAAAGGTTATATAGCACACATATGTGAAGTACACCTGCAGTATGGAAACAGTACAACAAAATGGCCGTTTTACACTTTTTTCTAGTAAATTCCACTCTAATATATATTCTATTCTCTTTGGGTAAATGTTTTGAATATTTTTTATTTATATATCGAACATTGATTATTTGATAAGGATAAAAGAGATTATATTTTATACTAGCTTGGGATACCAACTAAACTATAAACTGTATCTATATAAAAGTCAATCTGCTCAACTTTGAATTCTTAAAAACCAAACTTCTATCAAGTTTTCCAATCAAAGTTGACCGGACACCAGAACAAACAAAAAACAAGCAAACAGACAAACAGGATATATTTAGATAATACTAGCCTTATAGGGCGCTTCGCGCCCATCTTCTAAATTAATTGTGAACATGTTCTCTTTGTGTACACATTGTAAAACAAAACAAAAAAAATTCGCGGATTTTCACAAAAATTTTTGTGGATTTTCAAAATTTTCAAAAATTTGATGAAGATCGAATTTTGATGGAGACAAATATTTGAAATTTTGATCATTCATAAACCTTCCCTGTGTCACACAAAAAATTTGGACCCGATCGGTTCAGACGTTTTGACGTTTATTAGATACAAACAGACAGACAAACAAACAAACAAACACCCAGACAAGGCAAATTTATATATAGATAGATAGAAGAATGTGGAAGGAACATATGTAGATATAGTGTATATTTATTTCTTAACCTGTAAAGAAAATTAGATTTTTATTATTTGACATCTATTCAAAATCATTCACATTCACAATGTATCATTCACATAACGCAAAAAATATCTATTGTCAACTTTTTAATAATTTTGACCGATTTGATAAAATCAGTGGAAAAAAAGATTCATGAAAGATAAAGTCGTTATTAAAAATTTGGTTGAATATCAAAGTTATATAAAATGAACATTTAAATGCATGAATATACGAAAAAAAATAGAATACTATTCAATGGTGTCCCTAGATAACAATGTAATGAAAAAAAAACAAAGTCGAAAAATTTTTGTCGAAAAAAACCTGCCTCTTAATTAAATCTAAATTTTCTAATTGAAAATCTTTACAAAGGAACCATGATTTCTTACCAGAAACTACACTTTTTTATTAAAAATATTTAGATATTGAAACTTATAGTTTTAAAAAAGTTTTGTATTTTTTTAAATAAAATAATGCAAATTCAAAAATTGAAAATATCCAAAAGAGTATATATGTTTCAATCAATTATCTGAATTTTATTTACTTTTTAAATCAGAGACTTTTTTAGATTCTCCTGAAGTATTTTGTTGTACTCCCATTGCAGCTTCAAAACCTGAAAAGAACATTTATAAAAGTTTTGATATTTAAAAAGTTATTTTTATCATCGAGGCTTCAAACTCCGACACCAGAGGAAATGATAAGTAAGATTAGATTTATATTTCCTGCTGTAAAACTGAGTTTGAATTTAATTTATTTGATTTACCCATCAAATTCACTTTGAAGTTATTTTTCAATGAATAAACGAAAAAAGCTAGAACTTCTGAAAAAAATTTATTATTGCGATAAGTCAAGCTACTTTATCGTGTTCTTTGGAATGATTAAAATGAATTTTTACAGAATTAAACACGGATATCTAATTTATTCTTGATGATACTAAGCTTTCAAGGATAAAATTGTGTTTTGAACATTGGATTTTGTTATTTCATTTTTGTTATTTGTTATTATTAACGAGTGTTTCAAATTAAAATGATGTCCGGAAAAATGGTTAAAAAATTACAAAATAGAAACCTTTTGAATTAAAAATTTAGTAGTATAAATTCTTAATTGTAAAGCAAAAAATTGCTTTATTTATTTATAACATTTAATATTTAATTGTCAAGTTTTTAGATAAAAGAGCTTTAAATGAAATGAAATTACATAGCTTAACTAGATAATCAAACAAAATAAATAATAAAAATTTTAAAAAAGAAAAATGTAACGAAAATCTTAATTTAATTAAAATATTTATTAAAATATCTTTTTTATGTACATAGAGTCCTCCTAAAAGGCTGTATAGTGAGTGCTCAGGAAAAATGAAATGGAATTTTTAATTATATTTATATCTATTCACTATAGCATGCGTAAAGGAATTGAGTCTTTGTCACAAAATCTGATTTTCTAATTCCTATATCTTTGCAGTCCATGCAATGTTGTAGACATTTGACATTTCAAACTATGACTTCTGTTAGATCAAATAATATAAGTTTGAAATATCAAAGGTTTACAACATAGGGTTCAAAAGATATAGGGATTAGAAAATCAGAATTTGTGGCAAGGATTCAATTCCTTTGTACCAATTTTAATGCTACCCAATGTTTTAAAGATTTATTTTTTTAACTAAAAGTTAGGTTTACCAATGCGGTCACATTGCATAGCATTCATGTTTTCACGGCTTTATTCTAACGTTAGCTTTTAACGAAAAACAATGGTTACTTTTAATCAATATAATGCTTGCATAACGATTCTATTCCCAGCCAAGACGGAAAAAAATCGAAATTCTTTAAACCAAACCAAATAAACTTGTATTTTGCAGATAAAAGAAGGGGGGGAACCCCCCGGACGCCATGAGCCTCCGCTATGCAGACACGAGCCTCCCAGATTTGCTAGGCAGACCGAGCCTCCGCCATGCAGTAAGACCCTCCGCTATAAAGTAAACAAGTCTGCAAGTCAGAATAGTAGTAAAAATAATTTTGATTTTTTTCGACATAGTGGCATACAAAATTTATCAAAGATCATAAGTATTAATGAATTCTTTTAAATAGTGACTAATTATGACTAGTAAAGTGGTTTTTAAAACTTGAAATATTTTTTACGCAAAAAGGAAAACATTTAGAGAAAAAAATTCTTAAAGTAATTTTATTTGATTTAATCGATACTTTACTTAAAAATTTTTCCCAAAAAAGGTATTGCTTAAATCAAAGATTAAAACAAAATAATTTGCAAATAGCCTCCTTACTGCGTAAGAAATGTTAAATAATATAAATCTTTTATACCACTTTTCGTGTCAATATAAGATACAAATTATGACAATCAATAAACAACATTAATCCTAAGTAAAATTCTTGTGCCACTGAGTTGAAAAAAAATGGAAAAAAAAATCTTTCTTACATGTTAAACCAAAGAATTTTAAGGAAGCTGTGCTGTATAGCGGAGGCTCGTTTACTGCATAGCGGAGGCTCCTACTGCATCTTGGAGTCTCAGCCTGCCTAGCAAATATTGGAGGCTCGTGCCTGCATGGCGGAGGCTCGTGCCTGCATGGCGGAGGCTCATGGCGTCCGGGGATTCCCTGACTCGTTAATTAATTTTGGTATCGATTTAATGATTTATATAACCCTCGTTTCATTTTTCGCAAACAATCCCTTTTAACAAAAGTAGATTTAAAAATCGGTCTCCTATATACTAGTTTTATATAAAAACTTTAATATATATTCCTACTTTATTTTTAACTGCCTCAAAGTTGGATTCCGCTTTCTTGTTGAAAATAAACTCTTGAACACCGTAATTATTCTGTTCAATCATCTGAAACAAAAATAAGTTATAAAAGGGACTCTCCATTTGAAGGCTTTGTTCTGAGTAAAATTAACTTGCGGAATTATGCTCTAGAAAAAATTGTCAAAATTTCAGGAAAAAAATACCGTTTTAATAGGACATTGCCTTTGTAAATGGAGGTCAAGAGTACATTCATTTGTAAATTTCTGTGTAAAATGTTATTTGGGGCTTAATCCTGCAAAACTTTTTGTCGACAAAAAAAAGACTCTTTCAAGAATGCAAGATGAATAAAAGTTTGCTATAATAAAACCCCTCCCCCACCCTTAAAAAAAATATTCGAGCAAATTGCCGACTTAAGTGATATAAATCTAGAAAATTATCTTTAGATAAAATATAACGAGCATCTAATAAGATTCATTCTATAAACGATATAAACCTTTCATATATAAGATCTGACACCAAGCTAACATGAAAACAATACTTCATATATATCCAACCCCCCCCCCCCCCNAGCCAGATAAAACATAAAACCTAGTGAAGATAAAACATGAAATCTAGAGAGAGAAAAAACATGAAACCTAGACCCAGATAAAACATGAAACCTAGACCCAGATAAAACATGAAACCTAGAGCCAGATAAAACATAAAACCTAGTGAAGATAAAACATGAAATCTAGAGAGAGAAAAAACATGAAACCTAGACCCAGATAAAACATGAAACCTAGACCCAGATAAAACATGAAACCTAGAGCCAGATAAAACATCAAACCTAGAGGAAGATAAATCATGAAACATAGAGGCAGATAAAACATGAAACCTAGAGCCAGATAAAACATAAAACCTAGAGGCAGATAAAACATGAAACCTAAAGGCAGATAAAACATCAAACCTAGGGGAAGATAAAACATGAAAACCAGAGGCAGATAAAGCATGAAACCTAAAGGCAGATTAAACATGAAACTTAGTGGCAGATAAAACATGAAACATAGAACATCAAACCTAGAGGCAGAAAAAACATGAAACCTAGGGGAAGATAAAACATGAAAACCAGAGGCAGATAAAACATAATCTAGAGGCAGATAAAACATGAAACCTAGAGGCAGATAAAACATGAAACCTAGAGGAAGATAAAACATGAAACCTAGAGGCAGATAAAGCATGAAACCTTGAGGCAGATGAAACATGAAACCTAGAGATAGATAAAACATGAAACATAGAACATCAAACCTAGAGGCAGAAAAACATGAAACCTAGGGGAAGATAAAACATGAAAACCAGAGGCAGATAAAACATCAAAATGAACTTGAGGCAATTAATCTACTGAAATTTTGAATAAAATTATGCAATTAATTAGTTAAAGGTCCAAATATACATGAAAAGGTTACAAACGAAACCAAGTCAAACAGAACTAAAACTAAGTTTGGCAATAAAAATAAACCGAACCTTTCTATATCTGTAAAACCAAACCAAACATGTCCAGAAAAATCAAACCAAACCAAACCTGTCCAGATATATAATACCAAACCAAACCTGTCCAGATATATAATACCAAACCAAACCTGTCCAGATATATAATACCAAACCAAACCTGTCCAGATATATGAACTAAACCAAACATGTCCAGAAAAATCAAACCAAACCAAACCTGTCCAGATATATAATACCAAACCAAACCTGTCCCAAAATAAAAACCAAACCTTTTCAGAAATATAAACAAAATTAAACTTGTCAAGATTTGTAAACCAAACCAAATTTGTCAAGATTGGAAAACAAAATCAAACCTTTCCAAATCTATAAATGTAACCATTTCTTCTTCCATTCTTCCCATCTTCTCCTTCAAAGTGCTCATCTCAGTTTTTATTTTCTCCTCCAATGCTTCTATCTTCTCTAAAAATATTCATGATTAAATATTTCTTATTCTTAATCCTAATGATCCTCTACTCCATATTTCTCATCTTCTTCTTTATCCTACTAATCCTCTTCTCTATACTTCTCATCTTCTTCTTTATCATACTAATCCTCTTCTCTATACTTCCCATTTTCATCTATATCCTACTGATCCTCTTCTCTATACTTCCCATCTTCTTCTTTATTCTACTAATCCTCTTCTCTACACTTCCCATCTTTATCCTACTAATCCTCTTCTCTGTACTTCCCATCTTTTTCTTTATCCTACCAATCCTCTTTTTTATACTTCCCATCTTCTTCTTTATCCTACTAATCCTCTTCTCTATACTTCACATCTTTTTCTATATCTTACCAATCCTCTTCTCTACACTTCCCATCTTCTTCTTTATCCTACTAATTCTTTTCTCTATACTTCCCATCTTCTTCTTTATCCTAATAATCCTCTTTTTTATACTTCCCATCTTCTTCTTTATCCTGATAATCCTCTTCTCTATACTTCCCATCTTCTTCTATATCCTACCAATCCTCTTTTTTATACTTCCCATCTTCTTCTTTATCCTACTAATCCTCTTCTCTATACTTCACATCTTCTTCTATATCCTACCAATCCTCTTTTTTATACTTCCCATTTTCTTCTTTATCCTCCGAATCCTCTTCTCTATACTTCTCATCTTCTTCTTTATTCTACCAATCCTCTTCTATATACTTCCCATCTTCTTCTATATCCTACCAATCCTCTTCTCTATACTTCCCATTTTCTTCTTTATAATACTTATCCTCTTCTCTATACTTCCCATCTTCTTCTGTATCCTACTAATCCTCTTCTCTATACTTCCCATTTTCATCTATATCCTACTGATCCTCTTCTGTATACTTCCCATCTTCTTCTTTATTCTACTAATCCTCTTCTCTACACTTCCCATCTTCTTCTTTATCCTACTAATCCTCTTCTCTATACTTCCCATCTTCTTTCTTTATCCTACTAATCATCTTCTCTATACTTCCCATCTTCTATATCCTACCATCCAATACCTACAACCTACCTACTTCCAAGATTATAAAAGCTACCTAGATTTAAAGCTAGTTGTTGATGCTCTCTGTCCAGTCCTTCAATAGTATTTTTGGATTTCTCAACTTCGCCTTCCTAGATCAGATATTCATATATATACACACAAATTATACACATATTTGTATATAAAGTAGTAGTCTGTTTGTATGTCCAATCATTACTCATGATTGACCAATTTGCCTCAAATTTTAAACTGGGGAACTCGGTAGAACCACGGTAATGTTCTTAGTTTGGTTCAGAAGTTTTAGGTTCATTATGAATTTTATAGGGAATACTCATTTTTCAGGTAAAGCTAGTATATTATTATTTAACATGATAAGGTATATTTTCCAGGCAAAGCTAGTATATTATTATTTAACATGATAAGGAATATTTTTTATTATATTTAGTGGTGGAGAGGTGGGAGGGAGGATTAGATACTTATAAACATACCTTAAAGGCGAGATCTTCTTTCATACTAGAATACGCTTTGCTAGAGGGCATATGTCCAGCATGCTGCAGGTTCCTAAACATATGCCATTGAATTTAAGGCATGCTTTACTTACAGAAAACATGAATATACATATTCACTAGTTTAGATGCAACCCGAAGCTCTAGTTCTTGTATCCTAGCTTCTTGTATACCTGGATATATTCTCTAGTGTAGATGCAACCTGGAGCTCTAGTTCTTGTATCCTAGCTCCTTGTATACCTGGATATATTCCCTAGTGTAGATGCAACCTGGAGCTCTAGTTCCTGTATTCTAGCTTCTTTAATACCTGGATATATTCTCAAGTGTAGATGCAACGTAGAGCTCTAGTTCTTGTACCCTAGCTCCTTGTTTACCTGGATATATTCTCTAGTGTAGATGCAACCTGGAGCTCTAGTTCTTGTATCCTAGCTCCTTGTATATCTGGATATATTATCTAGAGTAGATGCAACCTGGAGCTATAGTTCTTGTATCCTAGCTCCATGCAATGCATACCTTGATATATTCTCTAGTGTAGATGCAACCTGGAGCTCTAGTTCTTGTATCCTGTTTAACTCCTGATCTCTAGTCTCCTGAAAACTCTGGAGAAATTGATCCATCGTTTCTTCACGCTTCCTTAGCTCACGGTACTTCTATGAACACAAAGGAAGAATTAAGAGAAATATTTGTATTAAAAAAGGATAAGTTTGCAAGAAATAAAATCTTTAAGCCAAGAAATTTGCTAAATATGCTAATAATACATAACTAATCTTAAAAATGAAACATGAATAACTCCAGTCAAAGAACCACGATATTTTATTCAGACAAAAGAGTTTGACATTTGTTTGATGTGAATGTTTGATTTATTTCTTGTCAATATTATATTCATTTGTTGCAAATATAAGATTTATTTGTTTTAAATAATAGATTTCTTTGTTGTAAATATTTATTTATTTGTTGTAAATATTTGACTTCTATGTGTACACATTAGATTTATTTGCTGTAAATATTAGATTTATTTATTGTACATATTGGATTTATTTGTTTAAGATATTAGATTTACCTTTAGAAAATATTAGATTTATTTGTTGCAAATATAAGATTTATTTGTTGTAAATATTAGATTTCTATGTTGTACAAATTTAATTTATATCAGATTTATCTTTTTACAATTTTAACAAAGGAATTGAGTCTTTGCCACAAACCCTGGTTTTTAAATCCCAATATCTTAACAATCCCATGCTGTAGACCTTAGATATTTCAAACTATGACTTCTGTTATATCAAACAAACAAAGTTTGAAATATCTAAGGTTTACATAATTTGTTTGTAGATATATAGGTATTAGAAAATTGGTATTTGTAGCAAAGACTCAATTCCTTTTCCACCATTGTTTGAGAAATGCATTTAAAGTTTAGAAAATAACAAGAATTTAAATCTATAGTTTAAATCGGAAATATAATTTTAATAGAATAGAGTTATCAAATAAAATAAAATAAGTTTAATATGGCAAAAGCTATCAGCTTCATGATATTCATATATTTAAGACCACGTTCCCTTCACATATTTATTCTTTGCATTGTTTCGGAGCAATAATTCAAGCAAATAAAAAAGGTCTCGGTTCAACCCAAAATTCAGTTTCACACCCTGAAATTTTAATATATTGAACCTGATTTTTCTCGGACTGATTTTCCTCCATATCCTGCTCCAACTGCTCCCGTTCCTCCTGGAGCAGTCGGAGCTTATCTCCAACCTCAAGGATCTGACGCTCCATTGTACTGATCTCAGCATTGTCATTCTTAACCTGCTCCAGCAGCCGTTCTCTCTCCTGCTGGGGGGTACCCCGGAGCTTCTCATCAGATAGAAGAGCTTCTTTCTTACTCTAAAACAGGAATTCATCAACATGGAGCTTTTTCTTACACTTTAGCAGCGTTTCATTTATGGAGAGATTTTTCTTATTTGATAAAGTGCTTCTTTATAACTCTATAATAAGGTATGATTCATACAGAGCTTCTTTTTCACTCTTTTATAACGTTCAGTAAATACATAGAGGTTTTTTTACTTTTAAACAGAGTTTGATTAATTTAGAGCTTAGTTCTTTACTTTTTTAATTAATTCATTTGGAGCAATTTTAGCCCTTAACAACTTTGTTACCTGTACAGCTGCCAGTTGGTCGTACAGTTTAGCAGCTTCTCTCTTTAAAGCTGACACTGACAGCTCATCCTCTAAACACGAAATCATTATTACGTAAGCTAGCTGACAAACTAATAATAATGCCTAAAACAATCGGATTATCGCATAGAATATTTATATTCACTTAGAATAGGTTTCCTTCTGCCTAGAATATGTATAATTATCTTTAAAAATACTAATTATCACCTAGAATAGGTTTCCGCCTGCCTAGAATATGTATAATTATCTATAAAAATACTAATTATCACCTAGAATAGGTTTCCTCCTGACTAGAATATGTATAATTATCTATACAAATACTAATTATCACCTAGAATAGGTTTCCTCCTGTTTAGAATATGTATGATTATCTATAAAAATACTAATTATCACCTAGAATAGGTTTCCTCTTGCCTAGAATATGTATAATTATCTATAAAAATACAAATTATCACCTAGAATAGGTTTCCTCCTGACTAGAATATGTATAATTATCTATAAAAATACTAATTATCACCTAGAATATCTAGAAGTATCTCCTAGAATACCAATTATCCCATAGAATACTTATATTCACCTAGAATAGGTTTCCTACTACCTAAAATATGTGTAGAGTATATCCTAGAATCCTAATTATCATCTTTTCTATTTACCTAGAATAGCTTTCCTACTGCCTAGAACATCTAGCTCCTGGTTCATCTCTTCTACAGCTCTTGCATACTGCATATTAGCAGACTAGATCAGGATTATCAATTGCGGTAAGCCTTCACTTTCGATCCCATTTCATCCATTGAATGCAGGTTTTGCTTTCTTCTAAACGCTTTAATTGTTAAGTATGATAATTTAATTCAGTTTTCTTTGATCTTTTGCGCCTAAGTTCTGAACTTTTGACTACTTAATTCCGCTAAAAATCACATAATTCCTATCTTTTTATAGTTAAACGGATAATTGTTGATTATCTTTGGATATCTCTTAAGGTACAATTCAACAAATCCAAACCAAATTCACAAAAAAATGGCTCCATATAAATGAGAAATCAAGAACATATGAGTCATCTGCTTTTTACCGGATCAAGTAGTTAACCTGATTAAATCAAAAGTTACTGCTATGGATTAGATTTCGAGTTAATGCGTTGTAGATTAGAACTTTCTCATACAAAAGATAAGACCTCAGAGCCCGCGCGATTTAAAAGCTTCGGCTCGAGTCTAAATTCCTTAAATGCAGCTTTGAGACCCAATCTTAGACCCAACTCTGACGACAGCTTGTGTCACATGATTGACAGCTGCGAGATCTACGGCTCGACTTAAGGAGTTAGGCCCAATGAAAATAAAACCGACCTTGGTTGCAACTTAAATCCGAAAGCCCGAGCCGTAAATAAGGCTCAGCAGCAGCTTAGACCTGAGTCTTATTTTCTTGAATTTTTTAATTCAAGAATTTTAATCTTTGCAACCTGACGCTGTAAACGTAGATTCTTTAATCTAACATAATTTATAATATGAAATATCAAAGGTCTCCAAAATCTGACTGCAAAGATATTGGGAATACAAAATCAGAGTGTGTGGGAAAAACTCTGTTCCTTTGTATAAAAGGGATCAACATATTAAGAATGAATGTATCAAAAGGAGAAAAAAGTTCAAAATTATAAATTTTTTCATAGAAAAATGTTTCAGTTTTTCAAGGAACTCGCACAGGTTTACTTGAAGATTATGAATGAATGTTTTGAAGATTAAATGCAAACCTTTCAATGAATCAGGATGTATACACAGCTTACAAGGGATTATATTAGAAACTTTTTTTCACAAAAGATTGCTGAACATGGTTCAAGGCAAAACTAGATTATATTCTTCAAAGAGCAGAAAAGGATTGTGTTAATGTATAATTGTATGTATCTATATTGTATGAATGTATGAAAAAAGTAATATCATAGATATGGAAAAAAAATTAAATAATTTGCAGAACATAAAGTTTTAAAAATCTGAATTTGTGGCAAAGACTCAATTCCTTTCATAAGTTTAGTTTGTCATATTGTAAAAAAAAAATCTTAAAAATTCTTTTTTATTCACAGAAAGATTTATGCTGCGGATTTAAGTCCAATTGCCACTCAAATTTTCAAATCCCTATATCTTTGCAACCTTATGTTGTAAACCTTTGTTTTTTGGGTTGCAAAGATATAAAGATTTAAAAATCAGAGTTTGCGGCAAAGACTCAATTCCTTTAAATATTTAGATCATCAAACTGTTAATAAATCGAAAAATATATAATTTTTAAATTCTTAAAACATTTTAATTTCATACGTTTTACATTTTACCTTTTACATTAAAACTTTACCTTTAAGTCCAAATATATCAAGATATATTTGTTAAAAAAACTCTAAAGAAATTGAGGATTTGCCACAATCTTTCTTTTCCGTATATTTTTGCAATTTATTCATTTCAAACTATGCATTCTGTTAGATCAGATAATCTAAGTTTGAAATATCAATTGTTTTCTCCATCAGGTTGAAAAGTTATAGGGATTAGGAAATTTTAGTTGTGGAAAAGACTCAATTCCTTTAAAGATCAACAATATATTTTTTTTTTTTTTACGTAATCGTTTATAGGCTTGATGTCAATGAACAAATACATGACTCCTAAAAACGAGTGGGTTTATTAAACTTTAAACTGCAGGACAGAGAAATTATGCTTCATAATAATGGTGGTTTTATGGTTTTAATCTGGGGAAAAAATTTATTTAATAAATTCTTTTATAACCTGCAACAGGATTATCCAGGGCTAGGAAATACATGAGGTTATATAATCATAAATTTAGATTTGTCTGTTTGTTTCTATCCAATAAACGTAAAATAGCGACACCATTTTTTTTGCAGAACTCCACAAGAAGGTTAATAGAAAGTCAAAATAAAAAATGCCTGAAAAATTTCATTTTGTAAAATTATGGAAATCCACCGATGAGAACAAGAAAATCTGCGAAATTATTCTTTTTTTATTTATTTGTACGAGCCAGAGGGAAAACAAATTATAATTAGAGAAAAAAGAGTTATAACTAAATGAATTGATAATATCCTTAAGCTGCATATATCGATCTTGTAACTCAGGATGCATTGCAGACACAAGGTTTTCCGTCATATTCATCTCCTAGATATTACAGGATTCAATATTCATCTCCTAGATATTACAGGATTCAATATTCATCTCTTAGATATTACAGGATTCAATATTCATCTCTTAGATATTACAGGATTCAATTTTCATCTTCTAGATATTACAGGATTCAAAATGCATCTCCTAGATATTACAGGATTCAATATTCATCTCCTAGATATTACAGGATTCAATATTCATCTTCAAATATTACAGGATTCAAAATTCATCTCCTAGATATTACAGGATTCAAAATTCATCTCCTAGATATTACAGGATTCAATATTCATCTCCTAGATATTACAGGATTCAATATTCATCTCCTAGATATTACAGGATTCGATATTCATCTCCTAGATATTACAGGATTCAATATTCATCTTACAGACATTACAGGATTCAAAATTCATCTCCTAGATATTACAGGATTCAATATTCATCTTCTAGATATTACAGGATTCAAAATTCATCTCCTAGATATTACAGGATTATTTTCAATTTATGGTTCTATACATATAGCTGTCTTTAAATTGAATTTCCTGCTTCAGAAACAATAGAGAAATTAACTGAATTAATACTTTTAAAGTTAGTAAAACTGAAATATCTAGGAGATGAATATTGATGAGGTTAAAGGTATTAGGGTACCATAGTGAATCAGGTTAAGAAAATTAGGGTACCATAGTGAATCATGTTAAGGGTATTAGGGTACCATAGTGAATCTGGTTAAGGATATTAGGGTACCATAGTGAATCAGGCTAATGGTATTAGGGTACCATAGTGAATCAGGTTAAGGGTACTAGGGAATCATAGTGAATCGGGTTAAGGATGAATGAGTGAATAGTCACGAATGCAATGAGCAAGAACGAATGAATATGAAAACATTTATATAAAATATGACAATTATGTAATAAGAGGAAATATAAACAGGAGGATGCAATTATGAATAAATGAAAGAATTAATATAAAATTAATTAAAATATGAATACAAGTGTTAATAAAACCTAAATAATTTACCTGGTTTAATTCTATTTCTAACTGATTAATCTGAGCTTCTCTTCCTCGTTTCTCCGCCCAGAGCTGTTCCACTTCCGCTGCAGCCTGCTCGTTAGCTGCCCTCAGCTCAGCTTCTTCCGCCTCAACATCTGCCCTCTCCGTATCCGTGTTTAGTTTATCCACGAGCATATTATAATCCGCCAATACACCCTGAATACAATATTTGGTTTATATCCCATGGGATAAAAAAATGTTCTGTCCTATTCCCGACACCATCTCTCTAAATCTATTTAAACCCACTGTGGACTGTGGAATAGGTAGACGACATTAAAGCAATATGTTCAATTAAATTTGATGTTTTACTTTTAACTTATTAAATCACTAAATAACTGAAAGAGGTTGATTTGTTACAATTTATTTGTCTCATATTCAAATCTCTAGTCTAAATGTCGACTACCTATTGCAGAATTTGCTGGTTCTCATAGTAAATATGGAATATTTCGTCTTTATACACTTCCGGAAGAGATTTCTGAACAATCGAGAAATAAATGAGTAAATATTTCCGCAAACTTAAAAGTTAAATCATATGTTTGTAAGTGAGACAAGGAAGTTTTTTTTTCAATGGAGGAGTTTAATCTTTTAGGAGGGGGGGGGGGGTCTCCCTGTAATGGCTGACCTTAGTTAACTCCACAGAGAGGGGATGAATCCCCATAGCCCAACCCCTTTATCTTTCATTTATCATAAGCTATATATTGTAAAGCTATCGTAATACATATGAATACCTGGCTTATTATAATTAGTTTCTTAGCTATTTCTTTAACCCCTTTAATATAAGCTATATCTTGTATAGCTATCATATTACATATGAATACCTGGCTTATAGTTAGTTTCTCAGCTATTTCTTTAACTCCTTTATCATAAGCTAGATATGTTGACTGCTCTTCACTTTGTGATTCAACCTCTCGACTTAGTTTATCTGAAATATTAAAGGGATTATAGTCTATCTGTAAAAATTAAAGGGACTGTCGACGTAATTTCAATTGAACTCCCATTTAAAAAGTTGCATAATTTGTTCTTTGTTTCTGCTTTCTAAATCCGCAAGCCCCTTTAATAAATTAGGTAAAAAACAAATAAAATTAAAATTTTCCGTTCGAAAATTATCGTTCTTCCTTGAATGAAGGTTTAAAGGTGCTGAATGTGAATAATGTCCCTCTAAGATAGAGGTTTACTTGAAATAACGTCTGCACTCCCTGACTAGTATTTTTAAAGAATTTATACTGATGGGAATGTTTTAGTTACAAAACACAATAAATATACGGGCCTCTTGAATATTTGTAAAAAATATTGTCATCAAAATAATAATACAAAAAAAAATTTGTTCGCCAAATTTAAGATTTTAGAAATATTTTGAAGTGTTTTTTTCCGAATACAAAGTAGATATAAAAATATTGAATATAAAATATCAAATTTTGAATATTAAATCCACGTTCTTTGGATAGAACTTGTTTATTAATCAGCATCAAATGTTTATACAGGGGTCTTCAATAAATATGGTCGCCTTTCAATCTTTTTTTAATTAATTCACATGGATCCAGACTGCTATAAAAAGTTGCATCAATTTCCACGACTGGGTCAAATTTGAAGTGTCGCAACGCCTTGACCGTTAATTTTACCTTTCTAACTAGATATACTTTTTGTACCCTGGAGGCTGGACATTTCCGAACCGAACTTATTTTAGCTTTAGTCTTTAGTGTTTATAGCAAAAACTCAAATCCTTTTATGATTTATAAATTACGGTCCGATGCTTTCTTCTTTTCTTGAAAAAAAATCTATTTCAATTTATTTTGTACTTTTTAACCATGCCAAAAAATGTATGAAGATTGAATAATTTTCTTATGTTGCCTGTATAGTGTATTGGCGTTAAAGCTTAGAGATAATCAAATATAATATTAGACGCTATACATGCAAATACTGCTTTGTAAGTGTGACAATTTTGAAAGAAAAGGAAACTTGGATACATTTTAACCATTGGCAGAGAATGGAAATTAAGATAATTTTCTAATTTCAAAATTAAATACTTATTTCCGAAGTAAGTTCAGCCATCTTGGTTCTCAGAGCTCCCAGGAAATAGGATTTATCCTGATCAAAATATATTAAGTCAAAACCATCAAACTGAACAAATGAAATAAAAGTTGTCTTTGATATGTCTTTTGAATAGAAACGTCGCTGAAATATACATCTTTAAAGATATATCAATTAAATAGCATATACAGATGATAAATCTATTTAGAGATATATCAATTATATATAACCTATACAGATGATAAATCTATTTAGAGATATATCAATTATATATATCCTATACAGATGATAAATCTATTTAGAGATATTTCAATTATATATAACCTATACAGATGATAAATCTATTTAGAGATATATCAATTATATATATCCTATACAGATGATAAATATATTTAGAGATATATCAATTATATAACCTATACAGATGATAAATCTATTTTCAGAAGATTAAACAAAGACGACTTTTTGTTTTGGAGTGGGGGGAGTGTGTGTCTGCATTTAGGAGCAAGTAAAATAAACCAGGAGACACCCCCCCCCCCATATATAAACATACAATTTGCAGTATTAAATTGTCATACTAGACAAAATGAATAATCTTTAGAAAAAAGCCCTTTTATTAAAAGACGTTATTCCAGAGATTTTCCCGCCTCTTGACATTTTTAGTTATATTCACATTTCTTGGTTCTAACTGATGTTAAGGATTAATGGCAAAAAGGTTTCCAATTAAGATCGTAGACTTGTTGTTAAAATTCCAATCAGAGGATTTAAATTGAAATCTTTATATTATGAAGGCGGGGTTTAAAGATAAGTACATGATACAGTACACTGGCTAAACTAAACCTATTGAGCCTCAAGTTCAGAAACACAACGGGTAAAATTTATTGTGATTCTAGGTTAGGAAGGAGAGGGGGTGAGGTTGTTTAAACAAAAAAGGTTTTTAAACTATATTCAACATAATATTTATGGTTTTCTTCATATATCAAAACAGACAAAATTGCTTTATAATTAAATCATTTTCAAGGACAGTTAAATAAAATGTTCGACTTCTGTAAGACATGATTTCAAATGACCCTTAATTTAAAGATGGCATTTCCGGTTTACATTAACATATGGAAAATTGTTCAATTCTGACAATTTTCTTTTTTTCTCTCTCTGATCCGCAAAGATTTGTTGTAGAGAACCCGTATTTGGAAACTTTTCGTTTTCGTTTTGCTTCAGTGAAAATACATTTTACTTTCTGCAGTGTTAAATACATATATTTCTTTAATTTTTTTTTTTACAAATAAATTTTACTGCAGTCGGAAATATTTTCTTCTAAATCTGGAATGAAATGAATGTAAAAATATATTTCTCCAATACTTGATCTTGTTCTATCAAATCTCGTCTAGGATTTAATATACTAAAGGCTTTAGAAAACATAAAACATAAAGCAGATTGGCAAAGAATAGAACGAAAACAGAATCCTAGATTTGTTCTAAATAAAACCAAAACAGAATCCTAGATTGGTTAAGAACGAAACAAAAACAGAAACCTAGAGTGGGTGAGAAGAGAATGAAAACAAAATCCTAGATTGGTTAGAATAAAACAAAAACAGAATCCTAGATTGGTTAGAATAAAACAAAAACAAAATCCTAGATTGGTTAGAATAAAACTAAAACAGAGTCCTAGATTGGTTAGAATATATAACGAAAACAGAATCCTAGGTTGGTTAGAATAAAACAAAAACAGAATCCTAGATTGGTTAGAATAAAACTAAAATAGAATCCTAGATTGGGTGAATACAGAACGAACTGTGTCACCGGTTTCAACCGAAAGCTTTGAAACATATTAAGCTTATGAATAGAAATCAAATCCAAATATTTAAAAGAATATTAACAAAAATCTTTGATTAGACAAGATGGAGATGATGAGGATAATACCACACATGGATTAAAGTCTACATGCAAATTGAGATGAGATTTATATTAATATGTTGAGAAAATCATTGAAATATTGTTAAAACTGTTACATTTCTCCTTGACAAACTTTTATTTACAGAAAGCAGTAGAAGTCAAAACTTGTATCTGAATTGGCATTATTCTACAGTGCTTGATAATGATATTCACTGTGACATCTCTTAAATTTTATTTGTGCCTGCAGGGTACGATTACCTCGTGATATCCGAAAGGATTAAATTTACTCCGCAGGTCTGCACAAGATGCAGATCAATGTTTGATTAGAATTAGAATAAAATCCAAGAGTTTACGAATCACGAAACCTCGACATGAAAAAACCAGATTGTTTTGACCTGATATTGTCTCTGAGGTCCTCGACCAGATCCAGTTTTTAGTCCAGTTAATCCTTGCTGGGTTATAGGTCTGGTATCAGAGTATAGTATCAGATTGTTGTTTAAGATTAGAATATCAAGTCAATTTTATAGAGAAATCTCATTTGAAAATAATCCACTTTCAAAAAGAAATAATAGGATAACTCTATCATTTTAAAACTGGACATGTAACTCTTTAAAATTACGTTGACAGTCCCTTAATCTAATAAAATATGAGATTATCTTTGATATATTTCCTGTCTGCTACACTAACAGCTGTCTGTAAACCTACTCCAGCTCTGCTAGCTGGTCTGTTACGCATAGCAGTCTCGACCAACCTTAACATGGAAAGGAACTGAGTTTTTGTCACAAACTCTACTTTTCTAATCTCTATATCTTTACTAACCAATGTCGTAGACCTTAGATATTTCAAACTATGAATTCTGTAAGATCCAATAATCTATGTTTGAAATATCAAAGGTTTACATCATCAGATTGTAAAGATATCATGATTAGACAATTGAGTTTGTGACAAAAACTCAATTCCTTTGAAATAAATTTTTTGGAAAATTCTTCTTATCAATGTTATCCTGGTATCCTTGTACCCTGGCACCCTGAAATCCTGGTACTCTGATATCCCATGGTATCCTGGTTTCCCGGTATCCTGTTATCCTGGTATCCTGGTATCCTTGTACCCTGTTATTCTGATATCCTGGTATTCTGATATCCTGGTATCCTGGTATCATGGTATCCTAGTATCTTGGCATCCTGGTATCCTAGTATCCTAGTATCCCAGTATCTTGGCATCCTGGTACCCTAGTATCCTAGTATCCCAGTATCTTGGCATCCTGTTATCCTAGTATCCTGGTATTCTGATATCCTGGTATCCTGGTATCTTTGTATCCTATTCCTGGCGTCCTGGTAAACTAGCATCCCGGTATCCAGGTATCCTGGTATCCTGATACCCTGGTATCCTGGTATCCTGGTATCCTGATATCCTGGTATCCTGGTATCTTGGTATCCTGTTATCCTGTTACCCTTTATCCTGTTATCCTGGTATCCTAGTATCCTGGTATCCTGGTATCCTGGTATCCTGGTATCCTGGAATCCAGGTATACTGGTATCCTGGTATCCTACCTAGATGCTGAGCCTGGTATCCAGGTATCCTGGTATCCTGGTAACCTAGTGTCTTGGTATCCTGGTATCCTGATATGCTAGTATCCTGGTATCTTGGTATCCTGGTATCCTGTTATCCTGATATCCTGGTATCCTGGTATGCTGGAATCCAGGTATACTGGTATCCTGGTATCCTACCTAGATGCTGAGCCTGGTATAATGGTATCCTTGTCTCCTGGTATCCTACCTGGATGCTAAGCCTGGTATAATGGTATCCTTGTCTCCTGGTATCCTACCTGGATGCTAAGCCTGGTATACTGGTATCCTTGTCTCCTTCTATCCTACCTGGATGCTGAGCCTGGTATCTTGGTATCCTTGTCTCCTGGTATCATACCTGGATGCTAAGCCTGGTATACTGGTATCCTTGTCTCCTTCTATCCTACCTGGATGCTGAGCCTGGTATCCTGGTATCCTTGTCTCCTGGTATCCTACCTGGATGCTGTGCCTGGTATCCCTCTATTTGCCATTGAGCTGCCCGGTCGACCTATAGCACTACCAGCCCGCCCGGTCATGGGTCGCCCTTAAAATAAGTACGTACTTTTCATATATATTTCATTATCTTTTATTCAGCTAGTTTTACAATTTTATTTGTTATGCTTTTTTTTTACAAATATTTGGTCTGTCGTCTAACCTGTGTAAGGCCGATCTGCGCCAGCAATGGCTGATCCTTGTCTGGAGAAAGGTCTGGACTAAACAGGAAAATATTATTTATGGGTCGGTTTCGAATACACCCAAATTTTGGAATTTGAAATACGTCCAAGCATATTTTACTGCTTAATAGCAATACATAACAGTGAAATGAAAATAAGGGGATTAAAATTGATCATCGAATGTGTAAATAAATATTAGATGAAAAGTTTTATGACTACAATTAACAATGTAATAAAAAAAATATTTTGTTTTTGTCGAATACAAAAAAAAACATGTTTGATGCGAGAACTTTGTTCAAATTAAAGTGATAGTTTTTTTGTGTAAAAGCTGTAACATCGAAAATACGGAAAATAAGATTTTCTTTTTAAATTTAAATAAATTACCTCAACCGAACCGTCCGGTTTTCTGTATCCCGTCTTAGGACGATCAGGTCCCAGGGAGTCGTCATCCATCATCCACTCCGGGACAGATCCGGTAGAAGGACGACTAATCATACTTGTCATCGGACGAGAGCCAGGTGGTCCTTGTCTTCCACTTGTCATTGGACGAGTTGCCGACGTCATTGGACGAGAAGGGCCTGGAAGCTCGGACTGCATGTCGTCCTCTGGTTTAGCAGTGATAGGTCGCTGAAGTCCGGTAAACGGTCTTAAATCTGATTCATCAAATTCTGCCATTTTCTTCTTCAAATTTTATAAAATTAATGAAACTATTTAGAAAAAATCCAATTTGTAATTTGTATTTACAAAATTAAGTTTTCATGCCTCAAACCATGAATCCTGGTCGGTCAAATACTTAAAGCTTAAAAATCTAGGCTTTACGGCATCAAGTAACGAGTTGTACAAAGAGAGTGTTTGCAATCGAAAAATTATCGATGGTGATCGCTAATAATCATACTTCTATCTGTTGCGTCTTTAAAGAGAAAATTGATAAAAACGAGTTCTTAAGAACGTAACGTCCATAACAATTCGGAAAGTTGCCACATTCGAATCGGATCGTAAAAAATCAGTTCAATTCCAAACAAATCATTCAGATATTACAACCTATAATCATCGATAATTTTTCGACGCATTTGTATATAGTTGATATATTTCATAATATTTTTTATTTGTTTCATATACGATGTAATTTAAACAACAATTTTTTTGGTCACTAGTCTCTTCCACGTGGAACTCAAGAAGCATCGAGAGCAGAGACACCTAGCGTCCAAATATTAAATTGATTTTTTACGATCCGAGGCGAATGTTGCAACTTTCTGAATTTGTATGGGCGCTACGTACTACGGTATGAGTCGTTTTTAACAATGTTCTTATATACGCAACAAATAGAAGTAAGATTAGCAGCAATCACCATCGATAATTTTTCGACGGAACACTCCGATTTAGATGAATATTATAAAATAAGAGTTGGGGGAAAATGTTTTAATTACTTTTTGGATTTTGGTAGAGGTTAGCCTTATAAGATGAGAACAATAATTGAGGTGGATAAGATATAATATATAAGATGAGAACAATGATTGAGGTGGATAGTATATAAGATATAAGATGAGAACAATAATTGAGGTGGATAAGATATAACATATAAGATGAGAACAATAATTGAGGTGGATAAGATATAATATATAAGATGAGAACAATAATTGAGGTGGATAAGATATAAGATATAAGATGAGAACAATAATTGAGGTGTATAAGGGGAGATAATTTATCGGAAAACAATAAAAGATAATTTGAATAAAATGAAAAAATCAGAATGGATAAAATATAATATAAATAAATACACCTATTTTCACGATCAAGAGAAAAAAGCAGCAAAATAAATTTTTTTTAACAAGAAATATTCGTAAAAATACATAAAACCTATAAAATAATTACGACATGAATTTCCCTCGGATTCATCTATTCGATTTACACGAAAATATAAGTTTAAAATTTATAGAAACACTGATTTAATAATCTGAAACTACTTTTATTTGATGGGTCTTACTGTAACACGTCAAATCTATATATATACTTGCTTGTCTGATTGATTTTTTTTTGTATCCAATAAACGTCAAAACGGCTGAACTGATCGGGCCCAAATTTTGTGTGGGACCTCACGTGGCCCCAGAGAAGTTTGAGGACACAAAGTTGATCCCGTAATTCCCCGCGTGACCTTCTACTTCTGTGTAGTGGAGCGTGGTATGAAATGTTATAGTGTTTGCAGAATATTGGAACTTAACATTATTTTGTGTGGAATGAAGAGAAAGCAGGTTTTTGGTTACAAACACATCAGCCTTTCTAACCATCAGGTAGATTAGATAGATAGATAGATAGATATACATAAATATATATATATGTCTATATATATGTATAATTTATCAAAATTATTACTATAAGGAGAAAATATATATGCAGGATTGAATCCTGGTTAACGGACGGAATTTGTTCGAACCCTAACTTCCAATCTACACTGCTGATCGGCAGCTCCCGGCTCATCATGGCTCGCATCTAGTTCAATAAACAATTAAAAAGGACACTGACTAACAATAAACAATTTCTAACTCTAAACTTTACTAAAATGATCTTCCTTGTCTCGTACTTAAAATGGATTTATAGCTGAAGAACTCATATACTAATAGAGTTTAAAAAGAAGAAAATTTTAATATGAATATAAATTATGTAAAATTATATAAAAAGAGATAAAGCTAGTGTATCCCTGAAAGTACATCTGAAATTATATAAGATAAACAAGAGATAAAGCTAGTGTATCCCTGAAAGTACTTCTGAAATTATATAAAATAAACAAGGGATAGAGCTAGTGTATCCCTGAAAGTACATCTGAAATTATATAAAATAAACAAGGGATAAAGCTAGTGTATCCCTGAAAGTACTTCTGAAATTATATAAAATAAACAAGAGATAAAGCTAGTGAATCCCTGAAAGTACTTCTGAAATTATATAAAATAAACAAGGGATAAAGCTAGTGTATCCCTGAAAGTACATCTGAAATTATATAAAATAAACAAGGGATAAAGCTAGTGTATCCCTGAAAGTACTTCTTAAAAGGATAAAGCTAGTGTATCCCTGAAAGTACTTCTGAAATTATATAAAATAAACAAGAGATAAAGCTATTGTATCCATGAAAGTACATCTGAAATTATATAAAATAAACAAGGGATAAAGCTATTGTATCCATGAAAGTACTTCTGAAAAAGCTAAATTCCCGAGGTTGTCGGAATCATTTTGATTTATTGAAAAGAAGAATACTTAGAGTGAGGGGAGATTAATCATTTCTGAATTTATTTTCCGTATATTCACCTTCAACCTTTCCCTGCAATCTCCCTCAGCCTTCCTAAATCTCCCTGAACCTTCCTAAATCTCTCTGAACCTTCCTAAATCTCCCGAAACCCACCTGAACCTTCCCCAGTCTACCAGAACCTCTTTCAACCCATATAAACCTCCTTAAACCTTCCTCAAGCCCAGGTTAATCTCTTCGCAACCTCCCCTTCCTAAATTTCCCTGAACATCTCTGACCCTCCCTAAACCTCCTTGAACCTCCCTAAACCCTCTTGAAGCTACATGAACCTCCATGAACCTCCTCCCAACTCACTGAACCTCCCTGAACCTCCCTAAACCCTCTTGAACCTACATGAACCTCCATGAACCTCCTCCCAACTCGCTGATCCTTCCTGAACCTCCCTGAACCTCCCTAAACCTCCCTAAACCTCCCTAAACCTCTCTAAACCTCCCTAAACCCTCTTGAACCTACTTGAACCTACTTGAACCTCCCTGAACCTCCTCCCAACTCGCTGAACCTCCCTGAACCTCCTTGAACCTCTCTTAACCTTCCAAACACTCTTTCAACCACACCTCAGCCAGTGTGGGTTAACGCTTAAGCTTAAAGTGACTGTGTGACCTGTGTACTGTGGGTACTGTGTATTGGAATGTTGATTGACCTTAATTTAAAGAGTGCAACGATTCAATTCACTGGACTATTCTTAAATTGTATTTATAATTACTTCTTGCTCGTCTTTGCTGTAGAAATCATCGAGTTATTTTCCAGAAGGGTTGAGACATAAAATTCCTGAGACGTAAAAAGCTTAAGATTTCTGAAGGCTTTGTATGTAAAGTGCAAAATGTTGGATGATCTTGCAGAAATGTCAGGATGGATTAGAATCAATCAGGATTAAACTCCGCCCACTCACAACCTATACTTGGACTTAATCTATTCTTAAATCAGAGATTAATTGCTCTTGTTAAAATAGTCAAGAACTCAGACTCTTTTCAACGGAGCACATTCAATTTCTTCTGGTTTTACATTCTATTTAGCAATATTGAGGATATAAAGTAATTTTAGTGACCCCCTGAACCTCCCTGAACCTCCATGAACCTCCATGAATCTCCCTGAACATCCCCCAAACTCCCTGAACCTCCCTGAACCTTCCTTAACCTCCTTGAACTTCCCTTTACCTCCCTGAACCTCCCTAAACCTCCCTGAACATCCCCCAAACTCCCAGAACCTCCCTGAACCTCCCTGAACCTCCCTGAACCTCCCTAAACCTCCCNAATCTCCCTGAACCTCCCTTAACCTCCCTGAACCTCCCTGAACCTCCCTTAACCTCCCTGAACCTCCATTAACCTCCCTGAACCTCCCTTAACCTCCCTGAACCTCCATTAACCTCCCTGAACCTCCCTTGACCTCCCTGAACATCCGTAAATCTCCCTGAACATCCCTAAACCTCCCTGAACCTCATCAAGGGATAGAAGAAGAAATTTTCCAAATAGAACATTTTTGTAGAATAATTTAATAGATTTTGAACCGATCTAATCAAAAAAAAATATTTCTTCTGTGAGTATTTACATTTTTTAAGCAATCGGCAAGATTTTGTTTCTCCGTTGCACAGGGGTAATGTTAAAACGTTAACTTCCCTTAGTCAACCACAGCAACAAATTTGTAGGAGCTCGTGAAAAAAGAAAAAAACATTATCGAACCCTGAAAAGAGAAATTTTTAACTGTAAGTACGTTAATTGGACCCTGAGCACTGGTTAGTTACTAGATTGTATCAGTGGAGAGTTGGGTTGGATCAAATTGATCCTAAACCAATAGATTAATAAAATCTTTACAGCTATAAATCTAAATATTAAGTTGAAGATACTCGTAGATAAGAGCTTTTAATACAGACTTTGAATAATTTTGATTGGAAATTATTTTAACTGAAAATGTTTCATTTATCACTTTTTAAATTTTATGGAAAGATGATAAACTTAGTACTTTTAGTGTTTCCGTTTATGCTGTATTTGAATAAAAATATTTTGACAGGTTTGACAGATTTTTTCTTTCTTATTGTTTTATTTTGAAGGAGTAGAGGAGTAGAGAAGTAGGTTAACATAATATTCACTAAAAAATATATATACATATATATCCATCACGATATACATCTATACAGGGTTACCCACAAACTATGAGACAGTAAAGTTGACCTGGAACTCTGAGAATATAACAATCACAAGGTTAAGTTTTCTACATTGAATACAGTCTAAATGCATGCTTACTGAATGAGTTTGCATAAAAAAACAAGTTTACAGTTGAATATAAGGATCAGACACTTACAGTATAAATTCCGCACTGAGTCTCATCCTTTGATGGAAACACCTGACTGACCAGAGTTAGAGGCATTCGGTTTCTTCTATTTGAAATTATACGCGTTTTGGGCTATAATTAAACAATCTTTAAGTTTACGGATTTGTTTGTTTTATACTTTTTTTCAAAATTTTTATGCCGACCAAAAAGTATTTAAAAAAAAGGCTAACAAAATATGTTTATTAGGACAAATTGTGATCGAAAGTCACAGTTTTCTGGAATATTGACAGAACCGTTAAATCCACGTGGGGTAACCCTGCTTATAAGTTTTCTTCAAAATATTTATTTATTATGTAAATGAATATTGATCTTTTTCCTCACATATGACTTTAACATTGTGACACAAATTTACAAATATAGTTTTTATATTTTTAGTAACAATACACCTCAAAATTAATTAAAATAAGATTGTTAAAAAATGCTAATTTGTTGAAAAATTATGAAAAAATTTGAATCTTTTAAAGCTACCCACACTTTACGATATGCACAGTATACAAATTGTTAAACAATTACGAATTTTAAATTCCTATATCTTGACAACCTAATGTCATAAATCTTTGATATTACAAAGCATAATATCTGCTAGATATAATACATATAAAATTTAGATTTCCCATCCGGTTACAAAGATAATGTTCCACTTCCCCATGATTTTTATTGCAAGACCTTTTCAGAATTTTTAGAATTTCCTTGTAAGTTTTTTAGATGAAAATTATTTGTTTTCTTTTGTTGTTCTACATTTTAAAATCTGCGCTTCAATATTTTTTACTGTCTGCATTATTTATGTAACTAATTTGCAAGCTGGCATTATTATTATAATTGGATTATAATGCATACAGAGATTAGAGTCGCGACACTGCGCATCATACTGTAAGAAGAGGGAAGGGGTACAGAGGGATATTATAGAATACGAATAGCATAGAGTTAACAGAGATTTATGAGTTTTAATAAACGCAAGTAAAACTGCAACGTACATCCTATTTGTGCGATATATTTTGATCTAGTACTTAAATTCCGTCGAAATATCTTAAAATTCTATATGTACTTTTATATCTACATATATCTATATCCTAAATATATTAGTAGGAATAGCATAATTAGGAAACACACGAAGTAGGAATATCACGAAGTAGGAATATCACGATGGAGGAATATCATGAAGTAGGAATATCACGTTGGAGGAATATCATGAAGTAGGAATATCACGATGGAGGAATATCATGAAGTAGGAATATTACGTGTAGGAATATCACGAAGAAGGAATATTACGATGTAGGAATATCACGAATTAGAAATATCACAAATTATAAAGTTCAAGAAATAGAAATATCATTGAATACTAAATAATTAGACATATCGAGTAGAAAAAGACACTTGAAACTTCTCCGACCCATCACTCTAAACCTTCTGAAAAAAATCTACCCATCCCTAAATCTGTCCCTTGTCATACATAACTGTCTTGGACTTTTTTTTAAGTAATTGATTAAACTCAAGAAGAATAGAAAGATAAATTGATTGCAATGGTTTGCAATGATTAAAATCAATTTTTTGAATTTAAATTCTTGCAGGGTGTAGGCGGGCATAATTGAACTGGGCACGAAACCCATGCTAAGATATTACTGCCTGGTTTAATAAGGTCCTTAATCATTTATGTTGAAGCTTCATGTTTATGTTTCATACATTCTTTCAGTACATGTTATTAAGCTGTACATGTATATTTTGTACCCTTGTACTTGTGATATGTAAATAACGTATTAATCGATCCAGTACAAATAAGTGTGTTCCTTAGAATTTATTCTTAAGTTCTGAACAATAACATCTCCATTTGGACATTGCACTCTTGATTCCATTGACTTTTTCTACGGGACAAATGTAAGTATTTGTATTGCTCAATCGAGTTTCTAGATTACAACACAATCCTTAAAAAGGTTTAGGTTCAGTTAAACTGATTTTATAGTTCTTGTTTGTTAATTGGGTAGTTGTAGACCTAGATCTAGATAAGCCTGGTATTCATCCAATCCTTATCAATTAAACTCATCAAGACAGGATGGAAACCGTCTCATATCTTAACTATTTCTCGCCAAATCCTAAGCAATGCAATTTTCGTTTAAGACTATTCATTGTTCTTGAACTTAAATTGGCTTTTAATTTAATTGAAGAAATTACGAATATCTGAGTGAATACGCACAAGTTTAATTCAAGAAAATTCGCAAGTTGAATAGTGAAATTTCACAAAAGTATATTTCTTCTAAATTATAATGGATAAAATGTTTAGAAACTCGCCATTCACAGGACCTTCCATGAAGGCATCAGAAAAATTGAGAGATCAAATGAACCACTATTTAACAGGTAAGTGAAAAATATCTATAATTAAAGTTAAATGCTCTTTCCAATTAAAAATACGTTTGCATAAATGAAATTCGCATGCCAAATAAGACCTTTTGTAAAATAATGTTAACATGTAGTTCTAAGGTTTTCTGGGTAAGGTCGGAAAATGTTGTTAATCTATTTTACAATTTTCCAGATGAAGTAAACCCAGCTGCAGGTGGAGTGAAAGTTTTGCCCAGGTAAAATGTTCGTAGCTTGGTTGAAAATACAAAAATTTACATAAAAACATGTTTTAAGTGAACCCGTCAGCAGTAATGGTGGAAAAGGATTTCAAATATTCTCTGGTGAATATCAACCTTTTGTATTCAGAGCTACCAGATATACTGTGGCCAAGGTCACGTTTATAGGCATTCTCTCGTTCATGCTATTTCGTCTTTGGTGTGAAATCGACAAGAAGAGGAAGATGACCAAGGGTATTTTTATTTCATTTAAAAGATTAATCAATTCCTTTGTAAATAACTACTAGTTTGACTCTTTCAGCATTTCACATGCTGTAGCTTTTTAGTTATAGTTATAGTATTTATTTTCAAACACAAAATACAAAATAATAATGTATGATGGTTCAGCTTAAAATAAAACACGAAAATTTATTAAGAGCCAATTGAAAATATGATGTTGTTTACAAATTTTGTTATGATCGGTATTTTTTGAAACAGACTATTCATATTGAAATCTCAACTAAATATACATTTAAAGTGGATTTACAAGTAGATAATTAGTCAGCACTCAAATAATCAAAACATTTTCAGGAATGCATTAATTGAATTTTTAAATACATATTGATTCAGCAAAAGTAGCAATGTATTCTTGTTGACTGTAGTAGACTTGACATCTATCATTAGCAAAGGGTGTGAACCCATTCTTGTTGTCTAGTAGACTTTGACATCTACCATTAGCAAAGGGTGTGAACCCATTCTTGTTACTGTAGTAGACTTTGACATCTACCATTATCAAAGGGTGTGAACCCATTCTTGTTGACTGTAGTAGACTTTGACATCCACCAATCGCAAAGGGTGTGAACTCATACTCGTTGACTGTAGAAGACTTTGACATCCACCAATCGCAAAAGGTGTGAACCCATACTCTTTGACTGCAGTAGACTTTAACATCCACCAGTAGCAAAGAGTGTGAACCCAATCTCGTTGACAGTAAAAGGGTCGCGGCCCTAGTCCTAAATATATTCTGTAAGCATTTTGCATGCTTTCTCTCAGAGAGTGGAGGTGTTGACACCTCAACTGCTTTCTACTAACTTCTACTTCTACTTACATCGTTAAAATTTGCTTGAATTTTATTTTAAGAAATATCCTCTGAAGTGAAAGAAGAAAAGGATGAAAGCTTAACTAAGGAAAAAAAGGTTGCTGAAGCACTTGATGGTCATCATTTTCTTGGTTTGGCGATCGAAAATGCTGAAACATCTGATAGACCCGTTGATGAAATATCTTTGCCGATTGTGAAAGGTAACTCGCTTTGATCGGAAAATACTGTTAATTCATGCAAACATTTGTTTCAAGTTCTTAATTTTAACATATTTGAATTAAATCGTTAATAGAATAAAATTGTGAAAATCATAAAATCACGCGAAACTTGGTAGAGTTGGTATGCCCGGTATGCCCGAGCCGAATAAGAATAAAATCAGTCACTGACCTTCAAGCCAAGATAACATGCTGCTAGAGAACCCCTGGACAGGAATTGAGTTTTTGTAGCAATCTCTGATTTTTTAATCCCTATATCTTTGCAACCTTATGTCGTAGACCTTTGATATTTCAAACTGTGAATTCTGTTAGATGAAATAGTCTATGTTTGAAATATCAAAGGTTTACACTATCAGGTGCAGCAAAGATATGGGGATTAGAAAATTTGAATTTGTGGCAAAAACTCAGTTCCTTTGTTCCTAAATTCGAACACACAGAAAGCACTATTATACGACCATTCTGTTCGTTGTTTCAATCTAAATTTTTATAAATTCGAATTTCTGTTGGCAAGGTCGATATTACGAATAAAAGTCAGGGCTTTCTTCTATCCGGAAACTGTTAAACTTTTAAAATATTTAAAGGTCTGTAAGTTGGTGAATATATTGTTGTTTAAAACATTTATTTAAAATTAATATGAAATGAATATTAGATAAGGTTCTAGATGAGGTTCTATGGATGGGAATTGACCCAATGGTTATCTGCGGTGAATACACTCTGGAGAGAATGGAAGGAGCTGAAGAGTTTCTAAAATGTCTTGGATTCTCCTATCTGGAGATTAGACTGTTCCTGTCACTTACCACCAATATCAAGGTCAGATTCATCCTGGATAAAGGGGGGGGGGGTGCAACGGGCAATTCAATAAATTATTTTCTGTCCACGTTAGACACGTTATGTCCTGAACATTAAGCACTAATTTTAATCATTTAAACTGATTTGGAGGAAAATTGTATTGTACGTATATTGTTACAATAAGGTAGAGCAAAATTGTCAAGGAAATCACCTCTTTCATGCCTGCAGATTTTTGTAAAACTATTAAAGGGAGTGTTTGAGAAAAATTTAAGTGGGTAGAGGCTGATCTTGAATTGAATTTGTTTTTATCTGTTGGGAATAAAGGGATAAATTGATCAAAAACGTCTGATACCCAAGATCGTAACGTCCATATGATAAAAGTACTAATTTAGTAGCGATCGATATCGAAATCAATTCGGGATTAGCCAATACCCCCTTTTATTTGTCGCCAATACTCCCTTTAAAAATTTATTTTAAAATCTCCCTTTCGCGTTCATCATATACTAACGTGCCGCGTATCTTACTTTCCGTCTAAAAAAGCTCTTCGCTCATATTGTCATATATATATACTTATACATGCATACAAATACATACAGTAAGATTCTGAAATATATTGAAATGTGTTTAATTTGAAGCTGATTCTTTAAATACATATTGTATATATGTATATATGTATATAAGTATATATATGTATATATGTATATGTTAGCTAAAGCTGGTTAAACGGCTAGACCGAATTGGTTTAATTTTTTTGAGGATACTAAAAAAATTCGTATTTTTTTTCTCGATTTAAAAAAAATCCATTGGGAACGCCGGCATTGCAGCTAGCTTTCTATCATTTTTTTTTGTTTTCAGGTTGAATACAAGGATGAATTGTGGAAATTTACTGTAGACAAGGGAATGGGACATACAGAGGTTCATGAGTTTAAATCTGGACAATGGTTTGTGGAGAGCAGAGAGCTTGGAGTTTACGATTGTAAATATACTTTCGTTAAACCTTTCGTTTTCAGGTTTACACTGAAACCAAGGTATCCAGCCTTTACAATATTACACATATTAACAGATATATATATATATATATACATGTATCTTGTATAATTTCAATAATTATTTAGTTTATAAATCAATTTTTAATTAAAATTAAAATTAATCTAGGAATAAGAAGAATAAGACTGTGAGTGGAACACAAACGTTTACTGATGATGGGTTGGTGCAGATTGCTAGACTGAGAAAAGGACGGAAAACAATTAAATGTGTTTCGCATTTTTCTAAAGTCTGATCTAAATATTCAATTCTTAATAAATATTAGTGAAACTTTTCAAACTTGTTAAATAGTTAATTTACAACTTATAACAACTTGTTAAACGAATATATTCACATTTGGTATTGTTATCTTGATGTTGATGGTTTAGTTTTTTATAATTCTGTTAGAATCAGAAGACTATGGAATAGGAAGAAGACTTTAAGTTATATTTCAGTGTATTTGATGGTGTTACAACGGAAATATATTTTCTTTAGTATCTTAAAATCCCTGATAAAGATAAAAGGGTTTGTGGGCACTGCCATATAGCGCTCTGTCTCGCGATTATTAGACGTGATCAAAATCAGAAGTCTAAAGTGGACTACCTATTCCACAGTAGTTTTCTGGTTCTCACTAAGTGTTGATTTATTTCCAGATTCTTACTTGTTTTTTACTGATAATCAAACTTACTCCCCTGGATCTAGTGTTTCAGCTCTAACTATAGTTTTTTAGCAATATACCCTACGACTGAAGTTAGTGTTTTTGATTTCCTTTATGTTGTTTTCTTATTGTTTGATGTCCTAGTATCCTATTGATCTTGTAGGTTGTGGATGTTCTGTTTTTGTTGTTGTCCTGTTTGTCCTATTGCCTTCTTTCCTTGATATATCGATGTCTTTTTGTCATAGTCCTGTTGCCTGCTGGTCCTGTTGTACTATTGTCATAATTCATAACGTATTGTTGTATTGATGTCTTGTTGTTGTCATGTTATGTCCTGTTTCCTTGATGTCTTGTTGTCCACTGCTTTCCAATGTCGCCACTGCTTTCCAATGTCGTATTGTATTGTCGTATTGTGATATCGTATATTGTCTTGTCGTCCTGTGCTCTGCTGTCTATGTATCTGGGTTAAATGGGAACTATAGTTGAAGTGGAACCTCCCAGTTTATCTTGGGTGGTGTCCGACAATATAATTCATTAGTGCTAATCAAACCTACACTACTCTAGCAACCTTTTTATGTTAAGACTACTGAAAAACATTCTGTAGTATCTGTACTAGTCTAGTAGTCTAGAGGTCTACAACCTCTACCGGATTCAAAATCTATTAAAATTCTTCAAATTTGTTCAGCATTTATAAGGAAGACCAGCAATTGTATTCCCCAGATAGGTTCCTAATTATTATTGAGCCAAACATTAAAACTTTTTCTGTAAAAAAGTTTTTATTTTACCGCCGACGGTTATTGGTATCTAGATTCTGAAATTCTCTCCGTTTATTCAAACTTTGACCATGAATTTAGAAATGCATTCTAGATATCAGTTTTCAGACAAACATTAGTTTCAAGTTTAAACATTTTACTTAAATCTCTGACCTGAGTTTTTCAGAATAAAAGCTTGTTTGAATCCATGAACAGTTCCTTTAAGGTTAATAAGTTGTTAAACACTGTTGTTGGTGATGGAAGGGTAGATATGGAAGGGAGGTTTCAGGATACAGGTTTGATAACGAAGGATAAAGAGAACTGAAACAGAGAATAAACATTTGCTTGACAGAAACCAACCTACTCTCATTATATTCAAAACCTAATAGGAAGGAACAAATTATTAGAAATCCTTTATCTAAAATCAATCTTATATTTCTTGCACATCTTTTACTCCTCCTTAATATAATTTTTCTCTATCGTTTCTAAATTCTTACTCTAAATTTTGATAATATTATTCCTCTGTAGCTTTTTCATTCTACTTCATTTTCCTTCCTTCTTCATTTATCTTTCTTTCTTTTCTCTCTTCCTTCTTCATACCATTCTTCTCTTCTCTTCTACTTGCTTTATTTTCTTTTCTTTTCTATCTCTTCGTTCTTGTTCTTTCTTCCTTCTTTTCTCTCCCATTTCTTATTCTTCTCTTCTCCCTCTACTTGTTTTATTTTTAATTTCCTTCGTCTCATTCAATATCTCCCCCCCCCCCTCCTGCTTAAATAATAACCCTAGGTTAGAATTGATGTTAGTGTCCTGTCTGTAGTTCCTGTAGCCCATGTATCTAAACCAAATATAGTGTTCATATCTCCAACAACCTGTCAACTAATACTTTAATTAAACTCACACTCTTAATCAACCTTCCTCTACATGGACGGATACACTGGGTAGACAGGTAGATCAGATAGATCAGGTAGATCAGGTAGATCAGGTAGATCAGATAGATCAGGTAGATCAGGTAGATCAGGTAGATCAGATAGATCAGCTAGGTATATCAGGAGACCATGTAGATTAGGTAGATCAGGTAGATCAGATTGATCATGTAGATCAGTTAGATCAGGCAGATCAGGTAGATCAGGTAGATCAGGTAGATCAGATAGATCAGCTAGGTATATCAGGAGACCATGTAGATTAGGTAGATCAGGTAGATCAGATTGATCATGTAGATCAGTTAGATCAGGCAGATCAGGTAGATCAGGTAGATCAGGTAGATCAGGTAGATCAGATTAATCATGTAGATCAGTTAGATCAGACAGATCAGGTAGATCAGGTTGATCAAGGGGATTAGGTAGATCATATAGATCAGGTATATGGTAGAGTACATTATGTAAGTATATCTTAACCAGACCAGATACAAAACACCCCTCTGGGCATGTCATACCCCACACAAAAACTGGGCCCATTCAGCCGATTAGAGGTTTTGAGCTGTAGACAACAACAAAAACAAAACAGATAAGACAAAACTTATAGCAAGATACACTTACCTACTTTACAGGCCGCGTCACTCAGTTTAGTAAATAATATACGTTAAATAGAAGGATAAACAAACACATTGTTTGTCTCTGATTGTATCCAATAAACGTAAAAACGGCTGACCCGATTTGGCCCAATTTTTTGGGCCGATTTTTACGGTTTTTAAAATTCCATGGATTTAAAAAAATATATCCGCGAACATTTTCGTTTGTTGGAGAAATATGAAAATTGGCGACTTAAAAATCAACAGTTAAAATCTAAAATTATTCATAGAAAAGAAGCACCGCAAAGTACCCAGAAACCCTGGTCTATATATTTTTGGCTCTGTCAAAACTGATGACACGATCAGGCCCAATTCCTTTTGTGAAGTGAAGAATTATGTCTGGTCAACATAAAAAATGAGTCTAAATTATTTTTTGATTTATGAAAAAGTCTTCAAATTAACCAATAAAATTAGACAAATAGGGGAAATTTTAAATTGTTTCTTCTTTGATAACATCTATGATACAATAGGTTCCGACGTGTTAAGGAACATTTGAGACCTTAGTTTAATGGAAGAAAGAGCGACTCAAAGCGCTTTCGAAACCTAAAGTATCATTATAAAGTTTTACGCGTTGTGCTCATAACTCTGATATACTGGTTTAATATAAGATCATGATATAAATCCGCAGATTTAACCCTGTTAAATAATCCAGAAACACGTTTCATAGACCTGCGACTCATACGATACACGTCATCAAACCCCTTAATATTGGTTTTCATCTCTTAAAAAAGAGCTGGGTTGAACTCTTGCTATCTCCCTTATAGCCACGCTTCAGAACCAAATAATATGATATGATCTAGGCAACACATTAATAAAATAATATGATATGATCTAGGCAACACATTAATAAAATAAAGTTTTTTTGAGGCATTTCCGTGTTGAGTCGTTTCCGTGTTGATGCGTTTCCATGTCACCCTTAATAACTAATCTAGTTCGATTTGACCAAATATAATCTCCCATACCCCCTACCCCCTCTCAAAAACTAATCTAGTTCGATTTAACCAAATATAATCTCCCCTACCCCTACCCCTCTTAATAACTAATCTAGTTCGATTTAACCTAGGGTTTCCATTCGCAAAACTTTTGCGCAATTTTTGCGGAACGAAACGCAAAATTTTTCTTTCTTTGCGCATCAGTTTTGCGCGAAAAAACAACAATTTGCGCAATCATTCGCAAAAGTCATTTCGCGCAAAATTGCCCTATTCCGCTTTTGCGAGACTCAAGTTTTGCGCAATTCCGCAACACATTTTCGTAAAAATCAAACGGTTGGGGACGGTGTGTGTGTTTCTTAGAATTCAATTCTGGAAAAATCTTGTTTTGGAATGTCTTCCTATTGGTCGCTTTTACATAATTGACCAATGACAGTTAAGAAGAGTTCAAATCTCACAATTTTCTCGACAATTTTAGTTTTGGACATGCATATTTCCTAAAAGTGCATTCATGGTTACTTTCTTGCATTATTTTATACGAGATTAAAGAGATTTCAGAAATTTGATTAAAAAATTTAAGAATATAATTCATAATTGATTAGGCAAACCTTTTAAGGGTCACTTAAAATCATTTAATTGGATTAAAATATTGCCAAGTTTCACACTCTCTAATTTCTATTTTATTAATTTTGGTCCCTTAATTTAAACTTTTTGTAACTGGAAGTAACCAATTGAGTGTAGTATAATCGTTATCATACTCGTATGTCAATATTTTTTTATGTTTGGAATAAATCTTCAGTTTTTAATTCTAAGCTTAGAATATCAATTTTTGACAATTTGCCTAAAAAGTTACATTTTGCGTAAAACTTGCGGTTTTGCGCATATTGCGCAAAACTAAAATTTCGTTTCATGCGCAACTTTCGCAAAAAATATTTCCGGTTTTGCGCAAATTGCGCAAAAAAATAGCGCAAAACCGCGCAAAACTCATTGCGTTTCATGCGCAAAATAGCGCAAAAGTTCGCAAAAAAAAATTGCGCAAATTTTGCGCAAAAGATTTAGCCATTTCGTGGAAACCCTAATTTAACCAAATATAATCTCCCCTACCCCCTACCCCCTCTTAATAACTAATCTAGTTCGATATAACAAAATATAATCTCCCCTACCCCCTTTTAATAACTAATCTAGTTGGATTTAACCAAATATAATCTCCCCTACCCCCAACCCCTCTCAGTTCACTGTTTAAGTGTTGGTTCTTGCTTAGGTTTAAAGTCCGAATATGAGAAAACCCGCAAAGGAAGAAATAATTTTGACCTTGATCACGCAACCTCTTCGTGTTTTCAGCGTTAAACTAAATATTCAAAAAATCTTTTTATCTAAACTTTTTCTGAATAAATACATGTTTAAAAACCTGGTAATGTTTAACATTAACTTTTTACATCCCAGCTCTTATCTGTGAAACCCATAAATATGTAATTATTTCCTCGTTAAAGACAGGAAAATATATAAGTAAGATAATACATGCTTTCTCTCTACCCTGGAGTTATCACAATGTGAATTTTCTTTTAAATACTTAAAACAATACCTGACAGTCTCACTGCCACCTAAAGATTAACACTATTTATTAAAAATCTAATTTTATAACTTTGAGCAACAATAAGCTTGGAATTCCTATTTGTGTCACCAAGTTAAATAAATACTTACATCTAACGCATCTAATGCAATGAAAGTTAAAACATAGTTTTGTTTATTTTGTTGAAACATGTCACATTAACAAGCAAACTTTGTGATCTTTTTCTAAACTATATTCCTGCAGTTTACTCTCCAGTTTTCTTTGGACGGATGCATCGATGTAGTTTAGGTTGGATCGGATTAGCTGAGGGAGAAAATATTAGTCTAGTCTAGTCTAGTAGAACTAGATTACTCCAGGTTCTATGTTTAGTAGAACTAGATTACTCCAGGTTCTATGTTTAGTAGAACTAGATTACTCCAGGTTCTATGTTTAGTAGAACTAGATTACTCCATGTTCTACTTTTAGTAGAACTAGATTACTTCAGATTCTATGTTCAGCAGAACTAGATTACTCCAGGTTCTATGTTTAGTAGAACTAGATTACTCCAGGTTCTATGTTTAGTAGAACTAGATAAGGTATAGTTTTATTGTGTTGAATCCACCCATTTACCAGGTTTATTTCAAGGGTATATCTGACACCATAGACATAAAAGATAATTTACTATTCAGAATAAAATACCTCAAAGGTAGAAAAACTGAATAAAAGCGAGGAGAAGGGGAGGGGAGAAGGGAATAAAACTGCGTCCTATTTATGCACTATGTTGATTCATTTTGTTTCGGTGCTTTGTTTAAACACAGAGATGGAGGATTGTGAATGTTGGATCTCTCTTGTACCTCTTAAAGCGCAGGATTTCTGGCGTTTTATAAACGCTAAGCGTTTTTAGAAAATAATAGATAAAATTATTTTATGAATAAAAATGTAAGTACTCTATAGACTCAAAGACTTTGCTACATAAAAAGTAAAAACAATACCTCCTGGACTCTAGTAAACAAGGGTAATCACCTCCTGAACTCTAGATAGACTGAACTCTAATAAACAAGAGTAATCACCCCTAGAATTCTAGATAGACTGATCTCTAATAAACAAGGGTAATCACCTCCTGAACTCTAGTTAGACTAAACTCTGATAAACAAGGGTAATCACCCCCTGAACTCTAACCAGACCGAACTCTAATAAACAAGGGTAATCACCTCCAGAACTCTAGTTAGACTGAACTCTAAGAAACAACAGTAACCGCCTGAACTCTGCTAGATTAAACTCTAATAACAAAGATAATAACCCCCTTTACTCTAGCTATAGACTGAACTCTGATAAACAGGGATAATCATCTCCTGAACTCTAATGAACAAGGGTAATAACCTCCTGAACTATAATGAACAAGGTTAATCACCTCCTGAACTCCAGTTAGATGGAACTCTGAGCGTATATAGTAAATCAACATATATGATGCTCGGAAAGATGCAAATAGAGTAGAATAGAGTAGAATTCTAAATATTTCTTTTAGAGTTACATATGCATATATATATTAATTAAATAACTAATAATTAAAAATTACATAAATCCGCAATTTAAGACCCAAGGTTCCTTTCAAGTGGAAGGGAGAATAAGTTATAATAAATGCATTTTATACAGGGATACCCAAAAAAGATGAGACTTTTATAAGACCTGGAACTCTTTATATTTAAAGTTTTCAAGGTTTCAGTCTTTTGCATCTCTATATATATAAAATAGTAATCTCTGTCCCGATGTCTGTTTGAATGTTCGATCATAACACATGAACCCCGGCCCTGGATAGATTTTCCTAAAGTTTGGATTGGAGAACTTTTTCTTTAGTCCGGTTCTACGTTGAATCATTTTTAATTTTTTCAAACATAACCATATATTGCATTTTTTAACCTTTTAATCAATGATCTGATCATGCATCACAACTAAACAACGCCTTTTTGACAATACAGGGGGGGGGGTGTAGTAGCTATATTTAACTTTCTGTTACGCAAAAAACTGTGAACTAGACAGACTACATCTGAACTATATTATATGTATTTTTTGTCGATAAAAAGCAAACATTTTTTTCCATTAACTTGAAAAATCAACTACAAAAATACAAGGCCATTCTCCCCCCCCCTCTAACTTCTCTAAATAGTTGTACCTTCTCTAACTACTCCATGACTCAATATCTGTTCCTTCTGTAACTTCTCTATGACTGAATATCTGTTCCTTCTCTAACTACTCTATGACTGAATATCTGTTCCTTCTCTAACTTCTCTATGACTGAATATCTGTTCCTTCTCTAACTTCTCTATGACTGAATATCTGTTCCTTCTCTAACTACTCTATGACTAAATATCTGTTCCTTCTCTAACTACTCTATGACTAAATATCTGTTCCTTCTCTAACTACTCTATGACTGAATATCTGTTCCTTCTCTAACTATAACTCTATGACTGAATATCTGTTCCTTCCCTAACTACTATATAACTGAATATCAGCTCCTTCTCTAACTACTCTATAACTGAATATCATTTCCTTCTCTTACTACTCTATGACTGAATATCAGTTCCTTCTCTAACTACTCTATAACTGAATATCAGTTCCTTCTCTAACTACTCTATAACTGAATATCAGTTCCTTCTCTAACTACTCTATGACTGAATAACTATTCAAAGTTGCGTAGTTTTCAGAAATCTATTTAGACAAGTTTCCATACAAAGGGATGAAGAATCATTGCCTGGAAAAAGTTCACGATCTGACGCAAAAAATAACAAAAACTACAATAACCTTTTAAAGTGGCGCAAAAAGAGACTCAAATATATTTAAATGATTACAATCAAAGAACAGTTTGGTTTTTGTGAAGCATTTTAGAAAATCATTTCCTCGTCTATTCATCAGATAAAAACAATTAGATGAAGTTTAAAATCAAGTTTTGAATATTTAATCTTTAAACATGATCCCTCAGTTGAATCTTTCCTGATCTCTGAATTAGATCTTTCCTAATTTTTGAGCAGAATCCTCCCTGATCTTTGAGCAGAATCCTCTCTGATCTTTGAACAGAATCCTCTATGATCTTTGAGCAGCTAATCCTCTCTGATCTTTGAGCGAGCAGCTAATCCTCCCTGATCTTTGAGCAGAAACCTCTCTGACCTTTGAGCAGCTAATCCTCTCTGATCTTTGAGCAGAAACCTCCCTGATCTTTGAGCAGAATCCTCTCTGATCTTTGAGCAGAATCCTCTCTGATCTTTGAGCAGAATCCTCCCTGATCTTTGAGCAGAATCTTCCCTGATCTTTGAGCAGAATCCTCCCTGATCTTTGAGCAGAATCCTCTCTGATCTTTGAGCAGAATCCTCTCTGATCTTTGAGCAGAATCCTCTCTGATCTTTGAGCAGAAACCTCTCTGATCTTTGAGCAGCTAATCCTTCCTGATCTTTGATCAGAATCCTCTCTGATCTTTGAGAAGAATGCTTCTTGGTCCCATAGCTAAATCCCTACTAAATATTTATCCCTAAGTTGCATTCCTTCTGGATTTAAAGCTGAATTTGATTTGACAGAATCCCTGATCTAAATACAAAGTAGGAAATCTGAGTCCTTCCTGATTTTAAAGCTGAATACATTCTGATCCTGATCCTGATCCTCAATTGAACCCTAAGCATTATTATTCTTTGAAGCTGAACCTTATTGCAATCTTCAATAAACGCTACTTATATCTATATATTCGTTCAGAGAACTGCAGATTATTTCAGAACAAACCGGAAGCTTAGATGTTGGTAATTGCATTCTTTAGATGAGTTTTAAAATTCCTTTACCGAAACCTAAAAACCAACAACTTTACAACAGAATTGTTGAGAATGCGCCGAATCCTGCAGAATGACTAAACTGAATTCTCTGAAACTGATTCTTTATATATTTAGAGTCAAAACATAAGATATCCTCATCCTATATAATTCTAGACAGGATACACACACCCACCATCTTTATTGTTTGTATCCAATAAACGTCAAAACCACTCTCCACTAAACACTACTATATCTTCGGTCAGTGTATGGCACCGATAGCTTAGTTGAGAGTGAAACGGCAGCTCTCATAAGTCATGACCCCAGGGAAATGGTTTATGGATGGTTGAAAGCGAAGCTCCCTTAAAACCAGTACCATAGGAAGAACAAAATACCATCTTTTCATAATCATCATAGGTTCGAGGTGTTAAAAAATCTCAATTTTTCTATTTCAGTTTGAACCGAGAGTTAATCAAATTTAATCTATCTTTCCTAATCATAATATATATTGGGCTTATTTTTGATTTATATCTTTAATACGACATTGATATTTACAAATGTGTTATTGTATCTCTGTTTAAAGGACAGGAATTCTGCAAGGAAGGATCAAATTTTCCTATTTTCATTTCTAGTTGTACCGGCCCGGTTCCTCCTCCATTAGTTGTACTGGCATGGGTTCCTCCCTGACTGACTAGCCTTGGGTTCCAAGCAGGTGAGTTGTAAAATATGGGCGTACCCGCCCATGCTTTTACGCAAAATATTTGGCTTTTATGTCAGTAGGACTTGGAGTGCCCAAAAGTGAAGTTTGATGCAATGTTTAAATGTGGCAAATTCAAATTAAAACCTTATAAAAACCACGGATAGCCAAAATAAAAAACAGGAAAAGGTAATTTTAAAAATAATATTCTTGAAATTTAAATTAATTCAATACGAAATTATAAAATAAATTTCAAATATTTTAATTTGAGAAACATTTTAGAAAAAATAATTTTTTATCAAAGAATTTGAGTTTATCTAATTATTTTTGATTATATATCTTTAATTCTAATTTTGATTGAGAAACTGAATTCTCCCTGTCATAAAACTGGGATAAATCAATCAAAACAGAAAATATTTTAATTAAATATCAAAACTCTTCTTATCGTTAAAAAAGAGCATTTTCCCAGGCTTTCCGAGACNTAATTTTTAAATTTTGGTTTATGAAACTTTTGTTTTCTATATTATAAAGAAGACCAAAACTTTAAGATATTTAAGGTACTTAATTGAAAGTATTTCACAATGTAAAAACTATGTTGGCTAGCAGATGTGCGTCTTTCTATGAGACTATTGAAGCAAGTTCTAAGCTTTGCATTAGATTTCTTTCTAATTTATGTAAAAATGACCTTAACACAGTTCTTGGCAGAAATTTATTTTGTATTGCAAATGAGTGTTCTGTAAATCTTTCGGATCTTAGTAAAATGTTAGTTAAGAAAGAAATGAAATATTTTGATGTCCCATTGGAACATGCATGGAAAGTTCCGGTTTTACAAGAACTTTTAAATACAAGAATGAATAATTTATATGTTGTCTATTTGTGCATAATTTTGCATATTTTTCTCTTTTCTTTTGGAAACCTGTATTTTCAAAAACTTATTTAAACAAATTTAAACTACACCATTTATATATGTATTTATATCTTTGTGTGTGAATACATCTTTATAATCTTTATAATATAATAATATAGTTGTGAACCATTGATCTAGCGTTAGTAAAGAAAAAATCGTTTAATAATACACAATTGAAAAGAAATAACAAAACTTTAAAATGCTGTTTTGATATTTTTTTTAAAGAGCAAATTGATATTTGTATTTTGATGTTCAATATTTTGTCCATTAAACAATCTGAATTCATTAATAAAAATAATGGAATGAAATCGTGAGAATATAAAGTTTAAAAAAACTATTCATCAACAGTGTTGCCAAAATTCACATTTGTTATTTTATCAAATATTTATTTCATAAATTAAAGTGCTACTGTAAAAGTTTCTGATATTGTGAACATACTTGGCTTTGTATCAAATCAAACTGGAGATAAGATAAAAATAAAATTATTATTATCGGAAAATATTTTGTAAATCTAAACCTTTCAGTTGAGAGATAATCTCGTGTTTAAAAATCACATTACAGAACAAAATAATTTTAATCTTAATTTACCAAACAACAAATCCGCAACTTTACAAGGAAAAATCATCAATTTTCTTTTATAAAATGGCGGCTTAATGTTTTCACAAATTCACGATGATTTAAATTCCAGATGAACCGGGATATCAGTTCACACCTCTTCTACATAAGATCTATCATTATCTCCTGGAGCCTGCTCATCTTCTTATTCAATCTCCAGTATGTCAAGTCCGAGTGTCGGGCCCGCCCCCTCGGCCTTCTCTCAGGAGAGATCAAGGATTGGCAGTTGGCAGCCAGCAGTGTTGTCAGCCGTGGTGAGGATCCAGATTGTGCTGTCAAGTTTGCCCGCCTACACTCCCCAGGGAAGAGGGCGTGGTGTCCGGAGCATTTAAAGCAGGGGGAGTGGATCCTAGTAGATCTAGGGGTGGAGTCAGAGATTGCGGGTGTTATGACGCAAGGGAGGGACACTATGGATCAGTGGGTCACCCATTATATAATCTCATATAGTCTAGATGCTTACAGGTAATTTAAAATAATTACAAATTAATGATACAAAAATAAAAGGCACTGCGTTTTCGTCACAAACTCCGACTTTCTAACCACTATATTATTGCAAGACAATGTCGTATTGATATTTCAAACTATTAATTTTGTTAGATCAAATCGTTTAAGTTTGAAATATTAAAGGTTTACACTCTCAGGTTGCAAAGATAAGGGATTGGAAAATTTAAGTTTGTGACAAAAACTTAGTTCCTTTTCTTTACATTACGTTTCAAGAATTTGATATGATTGCTTTGAACAGAGTTAGAGATTAAAATTAAATATTTTTTCCGATAATCTATTTTTTTTTTTCTTGTCCCAATTGTGATATTTTTAAAGGATTTGGTCCGTTCTGTATCCTAATATCAATATTCATATTGTTATCTACTAGACGCATGCTTCTGCATTTACAACATAAAATAAAATAAAAACATTGCAAAAATCATGTTTTTAACTTTAAAGGGATTGTTCAGATTTATAATACAAGTTCCAATTTTACAGTATTGTTAGTGCAATTTACTTTAACTAAAATCCGGATACAGTCTCTTTAAAATCCAGATTATTTATTATATTTTAGCATTTAAGTCTGAGTTGTCAAGTCCTAAGTTTTATCTTTTGGTTAAAAATGCTGCAGTTTATCATTGTTTTTTTTGCGACGTGCAAAGAAAGAACATTATTTGCAAAATCATTCGGTAGAATTGTGATTTTCATAATAACACAATCATAACCAACATTTTGTTTGCTTTAAGTGGTTTAAGGAACAATGTTATTTTAACCAGAAAGGTTTGTTGTATAAAGGGACTGTAGACGTAATTTCAAGTGTCCCTTAATTTATAAAGTCGGATTTACACTGCTGAAGGAAAATGTCATAAATCATCACATTTTAAAATAGAAAAACGACAATATCTTCTTCATTTTTACTCAGATAAAGGTTTAAAGAGTATGTGAATGTGACGTGTTATGTTAGGACCGGAATCATTTGAAATAACTTTGACAATCTCTTTACGTGTAAAACAATGCTATTTTAGATTGCTTTTCAGTAAACAATTATCGAGTTTATTCAATTTTGGTAATACTAGAAATTCAGGGCGCTTTGCGGCCTTCTTTCTAGGCTTTTAGGGCGCTTCGCGCCCATCTTCTATTTCAACTTTTAATTGTGGCTTTATCTCTGAACATCTTCTCTTTGTACAGTATAAAACAAAAACAAAAAAAGTTTGCGGATTTAATAATATTTGTTTGCGCATTTTCAAAACTTTTTTAAAAATAAAAAACTTTTAAACATAAATTTTTAAAATTTTGATCATTCATAAACCTTCCTTGGGGTCACGTGAGGTCCCACAAAAAATTTGGGCCCGATCGGTTCAGCCGTTTTGACGTTTATTGGATACAAACAAACAAACAGACACCCAGACAGACAAGCCAAATTTATATATAGACTAGCCTTATAGGGCGCTTCGCGCCCATCTTCTAAATTAATTGTGAACATGTTCTCTTTGTGTACATTGTAAAACAAAACAAAAATAATTCGCGGAATTTCACAAAAAAATTCGTGAATTTTCAAAATTTTCAAAAATTTAATGAAGATCGAATTTTGATGGAGACAAATATTTGAAATTTTGATCATTCATAAACCTTTCCTTTGGTCACGTGATGTCCCACAAAAAATTTGGGCCCGATCGGTTCAGCCGTTTTGACGTTTATTGGATACAAACAGACAGACAAACAAACAGACAGACAAGCCAAATTTATATATAGATTAAGGTTTTTTGAGATGACAAAGTTGGTTTAATATTATGAGATATAAAAGATTCTCTGGTTGTGCAACTCCACAACACACGTTTTCTATTAAATAAATATTCACTTTATTTTCATTGAGCCAATCGAATAAAAATAAGGTTTCAAATTAAACTTTGAGTTTGAAATGAAAAATGTTTATTTTTGATTGATTTTTTAGGGACTAAGGACTTTTTTAAAATCCAGTGAGGTTCAACTGAGTTTTAATTGTTTACCAAAACAAAATATGTATTTTATGAAATAATAAAATCATAAAAATATCTTTTAAGCTCTGTTTTTTCAAACTGGGGTTCGTTCATCGATACTCTCTAAAGTTGCCTTCTATGGCTGTCTGTAGTTTTCTAAAGATATAAATCTAAACCAGGATGAAATAAAGAGATTTGTTGTATATTTAGAATATATTTAGAAACCAGTTTAACTTCTAATCTTGCAATATTTCAGATGGGAGTTTGCTAGAGATATTTATGGGAATAAAAAGGTAGTATTTTATAAGTATTCCTCCCTTTACCCTCCACACATACAACACTATATCCTTCTTTACCCTCCACACATACAACCCTATATCCTTCTTTACCCTCCACACATACAACACAATATTTATATCTTTACTCTCCACACATCCAACCCTGTATCCTTCTTTACCCTCCACACATCCAACCCTATATCCTTCTTTACTCTCCACACATCCAACCCTACCCTTCTTTACCCTCCGCACATACAACACTATATCCTTCTTTACCCTCCACACATCCAACCCTATATCCTTCTTTACCCTCCACACATCCAAACCTGTATCCTTCTTTACCTTCCACACATCCAACCCTGTATCCTTCTTTACCCTCCACACATCCAACACTGTATCCTTCTTTACCCTCCACACATCCAGCCTTATATACTTCTTTACCCTCCACACATACAACCCTATACCCTTCTTTACCTTCCACACATACAACCCTGTATCCTTCTTTAACCTCCACACATACAACCCTACATCATTCTTTACCCTCCACACATCCAACCCTGTATCCTTCTTTACCCTCCACACATACAACACTATACCCTTCTTTACCCTCCACACATACAACACTATACCCATCTTTACCCTCCACACATACAACACTTTATCCTTCTTTACCTTCCACACATACAACCCTGTATCCTTCTTTACCCTCCACACATCCAACACTATATCATTCTTTACCCTTCACACATACAACCCTATACCCATCTTTACCTTCCACACATCCAACCCTGTATCATTCTTTACCCTCCACACACTCATCTGAGCCCGCGACTTAAAAACTTCGGCTCGAGCTGTAATTCCTTAAACCCGACTTTAAGACCCAATCTTCTACCTTGGTTGGTTTTAGTGGAGAATAAGGCTCAATGTTGAGCCGAAGAAGCATTTGTTTGGTTTCAAGGAACAGCTGACATATTCACATGCAGCGGTACCTTTCAAACCCTTTTCAGATCAAGGATGAAAAGATATTATAGATTTTCAAGCTAAAACAAAATGTAATTTTGGGTTCTGTTATCATTATTTGTTTTTGGTTCTGTTGGTGTTTATGTATGACACTGCTTTTATACTGGTCTTTTTTTATTCAATGGTTCAGCGTGGTTTATAAAAGTGTTACCAATGGTTAGATTTTTGTCAGGGTTAAAATGGTTTGTTATGGTTTGCGTAATATAATCAATAATTTGTGTAAAATTATCAATGGTTTATTATGATTTGTGCAATATTGTTAATATTTTCGTATGGTGTTTGTAATAGTATCAATGGTTTGTATAGTTTGTGTGATCAATTATTTGGTATGGTTTGTGTAATATTATGGTTTGGTTTGGTTTGTGTAATATTATGGTTTGGTTTGGTTTGGTTTATATTATGGTTTGGTTTGGTTTGTGTAATATTATGGTTTGGTTTGGTTTGTGTAATATTATGGTTTGGTTTGGTTTATATCAGGAGTTTATCTAAATCCTGCAATCAACAAAACAGTTGGAATAAATTCATTTTAGATTGGACTTTATTGCACATATAGAGAAGAGGGAGGGGNTAGGGCATGTCTGGTTCTCTTTATTAAGGTTGTCTTTGTATAAATAAATATTTTTATTCTATCAAAATGTTCTCTTGAACCTGGTTAAAATCTGAGAATGGTTTAATGTACAGAAATGAGCTGGAAAGACTGGTCCCTGTAATTATTACTTGCGTTCCCTTGAAACTGCATTCGCTAATAATTAGTTCATTGTAGTTGCTATGCGTAGATATAGAGGGCTTTTAGCGATAGGATTTAAAACATTAATTGCATTCTTCCATTAATTGCATTCATTTGCAGTCTTTAAGTTCTATTTATTCTTCTTTATCTTACAGTTCTATATTTTATCTTACAGTTCTATATTTTCTCTCAATCTTACAGTTCTATAAATTTTTGTTTATCTTCCAGTTCTAAACATTCTTCTTTATCTTCCAGTTCTAAACATTCTTCTTTATCTTCCAGTTCTAAACATTCTTCTTTATCTTCCAGTTCTAAACATTCTTCTTTATCTTACTGGTCCATATATTCTTCTTTATCTTACAGTCCTATATTTTCTCTCTATCTCACAGTTCTATAAATTCTTCTTTATCTTTCAGTTCTAAACATTCTTCTTTATCTTACAGTTCTATAGATTCTTCTTTATCTTGCAGTTCTATATATGCTTCTTTATCTTACAGTTCTATATATGCTTCTTTATCTTACAGTTCTATAAATTCTTCTTTATCTTCCAGTTCTAAACATTCTTCTTTATCTTACAGTTCTTTATATTCTTCTTTTTCTTACAGTTTTACATAATATTCTTTATCTTACTGCTCCATATATTCTTCTTTATCTTACTGTTCCATATATTCTTCTTTATCTTACATGTTTTATGAATTCTTCTCTATCTTACAGTTCTTTATATTCTTCTTTTTCTTACAGTTCTATATATTATTCTTTATCTTACAATTTTTATATATTCTTCTTTATCTTACAGTTCTATGTATTCTTCTTTTCTTACAGTTTTATATATGCTTTTTTATCTTACAGTTCTATGTATTCTTTTTTTACAGTTCTATATAAACTACTTTATCTTACAGTCCTATATGTATGCTTCTTCATCTTACAGTTCTATATATGCTACTTTATCTTACAGTTCTATGTATGCCTCTATATATGACAGTTCTATAAATGCTTCTTTATCTTACAGTTCTATATTTGCTTCTTTATCTTACAGTTCTATATATGCTTCTTTATCTTACAGTTCTATAGATTCTTCTTTATCTTACAGTTCTATACATTTTTCTTTATCTTACAATTCTATAGATTCTTCTTTATCTTACAGTTCTATATATGCTTCTTTATCTTACAGTTCTATAGATTCTTCTTTATCTTACAGTTCTGTAGATTCTTCTTTATCTTACAGTTCTATAGATTCTTCTTTATCTTACAGTTCTATAGATTCTTCTTTATCTTACAGTTCTATATAAGCTTCTTTATCTTACAGTTCCATATATGCTTCTTTATCTTACAGTTCTGTAGATTCTTCTTTATCTTACAGTTCTATATATGCTTCTTTATCTTACAGTTCTGTAGATTATTCTTTATCTTACAGTTCCATATCTGCTTCTTTATCCTACAGTTCTATAGATTCTTCTTTATCTTACAGTTCTGTAGATTCTTCTTTATCTTACAGTTCTGTATATTCTTCTTCATTATACAGCTCATAGATTCTTCTTTTCCTGCACTTCTTTATGTATTCCAGATTTTTGTTAGAAATTTTAAAAAATTGGGATTACCTTATTAGTTAGTAAACATGGTTAATAAGCGGTTTAAAAATATAAAAGCATAGTCTTCTTGATATTTCTAATAATATTTTTAAATATTTTGTAGATAATTTATTGTATTCTATATATTCCTATATTCAGGTGTACCGGGGTAACCAGGATACACACACTATTAAAGTATCCTACCTGGAGCACACTGTCCGAGCCAGGTTTATCAGGATACATATAGAAGCTTGGCACAACCATCCCTCCCTCAGGATGGAAGTGCTGGGCTGCCAGGAGTGTAATAGTTTAATCTCCGAGCTACCGAGTACCCAGCTAGAGAGTAGTAGTACTGGGAGAAGGAAAAAGTCTAAGGATACTTGTACTCCTGCTGACGGTCATATTTATAGTGCAGGGGGCTGGTGCCCTAGGAGAACTAATGGTGAGTATTTACTAAAACGTTAATAAAGTAAATAGTGCTTAGTTCATTAAAGGGACTGTTATTTTTTTTCTAATGACCCTCAATTCAAAGAGGGACATCGATTCACAAGGGTACCCTTCAAATCTTTATCGGATTAATAATGAGGAAGATATTGTCGTTTTCCCAGTACTGAAAATAGCTCTGACAATATCCTCTATTGTTTCTGTTGCAAGATTTAAAATTTAAATATACATTTACCCTGACAATTAATCTTGTCTAGTGTGTAGTGTCTAGTGGGGGGAGTGTGTAGAATATTTTAATTAAAGTTGTTAATAAGGTTTTAAGATGTGTTAAGATAAGTTCCAGTGACAAGGAAACCTGTTCTACAGATCTATATAAATCTATGTATAAATATATATTATATTTATATATTACTATTATACTTTATATCTTGTATTGATCGATGCATGTATTTTCACATTCACACAATACAGAGAGATCAAATATTTAACTACAATGTTTTGACCCCACAGAATTGACATAATAGACGTATTTAAAGTTCAAGCTTATATCCGAATCAATGCAAAGTATACATGACATATTTTGTGAAGAATTTTGGTAACAATAAAGTTTTTTTTGTTCGAATTTGACGAGATCTCTCTGATTTATATAGATAGATCTATAGAACAGTTGAGTTGTTTGATACAGCAGTGCAGCTTGTGCATAGAACACCAAATGTCAATCTTTAGAGTTTGATTAATTTGAATTTGTCAGAATGCAATGTATGATACTATTGGGCTGACAATGACAAACTTGAATCCTTATTTAGAGATATTAGGAACAATTCAAGATAAACAGCTTCAAATAATAGATTTTTGTTTCTTTTTTTACCTTGTATCTTAATAAAAAGCTGTTGAATCATGTGTTCTCAATGAATCTAGAAAATTGAGTTAATATCTACTCACTAAACCAATTATTTCTATTGTTTTAAAGTTTGTAATAAAGAATCTCTTAGAACAATTTTCATAAGACGAATTTCTCTCAATGTTACAATGTACATATTTTACATAAAATCAATTATACATATTAATTTTAAGCATATGAACATATACCCTACAGCGCGGCGTTCTGTTTGTTCAGGGGCGCAAAAATATGATCATTGCTATTTTTAATGCTATAAATAGCTCTATAAACAAAAAAAATATACTAATAAAATGTCAAAGTGAATCTATTTAAATTAAGTACTTTACTTGAAAATGTACTTGACATTTAAACAACTGATAAAAAAACTTTCTGCAATTCTTTTAAAAAAATTGAGTCATTGTGACAAAAACTCAAGTTTTCTAATCCCTGAATCTTTGCAACCTGATGGTATAAATCTTTGATATTTAAAACTTAGATTATTTGACTTAAAATAACTCATAGTTTAAAATATCTAAAGTCCAAAATATTGGTTTGTAAAAATGGATTGGAAAATCAAAGTTTGTGGCAAAGACTCAATTTCTTTGTTCATGCTTCGTATTAAGATAAGTTAGCAATGATAATAATTAGATTAAAATTGAATTCAGATTTCCGTTTTTCTAAATTTTCTAATATTTAGAGCATCAATGGTTACAGTTGGATCTAGGACCTCCCACCCTGGTTACTGGTATAATGAGTAGAGGACGAGGAGATAAGAAGAACTGGGTAACCTCCTACTCCTTGTCCTACTCTAATGATACTAATATCTGGTTCTACTACAAGGATGCAAACCATCTAGAGGCTAAGGTAGAGAACAGTACAAAGGGACATGTAAGCATGATCATTTAAACACGGGGATTCAAATATTCGTATTTTTTTACTTTGATAATGTTTCTTTTTATTGGTTTTACTGTTAATAAAATGTCCTCAATTTTTGTATATATTTGAATTCCCGTAATATAAGTTTTTTTTTATAATGTATTAGACCTAAAATTTTTGTTTCTAGATTTTTGGTGGAAATATGGATATAAAGACGGAGAGAAGACACTATCTCAATGTTCCCATGGTAACTAGATATGTCCGTATTCATCCTTTAACCTGGAGAAGACGGATAGGGTTGAGGGTTGGAGTTCTAGGTTGTCCTCACACTGGAGAATGTGGTCCTGGGTTCCTCAGTGTAAACTCTAGATCTGCTTGTGGTAGGTTTTTTATATTTTGGGTTTTTACAGATAAATCAATAGACAAGTTTTTGGAGACGACTGTACAGAATTTTATGATATTTATAGTTCTCTACAGCAAGGATTTTTAAACCAGTAAACGACACCAATTCTATCTCAATCCTTCTCAAATCTTTGTCTGGTGAGAAAGTTTTAAAGTTGTATTAACTGCATTAGATTTTCTCCATACTCAACCCAGCACAGTCCTAGGACTGGTATTTAAGTTCTCAAAGTGGTAAAGGTGATAAAGACTTGGTAACAAAATAGAGAGAGGTGTTACATTTATATTGTGCATACTATAACCAGCAATGCAAAATACACTATTTTAAACAAGAAATCTCCCGCAGTGTTTATTCTCTGCATTTTACACCCTTCAATCTATATCTGTCAATATAGTAGGATAGTAGAATAGTAGAATAGTAGGATACTAGGATAGTAGGATACTAGGATAGCAGGATAGTAGTATAGTAGTATAGTAGGATAGTAGGATAGTAGATTAGTAGGATAATAGGATAGTAGGATAGTAGGATAGTAGGATAGTAGGATAGTAGGATGGTAGGATAGTAGGATAGTAGGACAGTAGGATATAGAATAGTAGAATAGTAGGATAGTAGGATAGTAGGATAGTATGAATGGTAGGATAGTAGGATAGTAGGACAGTGGGACAGTAGGATATAGGATAGTAGAATAGTAAGATAGTAGGATACCAAAATTCCTTCATTATTCTCCCATTCTTTAAACCTCCCCTTCTCTCACATATACATTAATCCCACCTCTAACCCCTTATACACTGGTCGGAACATCTCTATTTTAGGATGCGAGACATTTATAGTTTTTAATTTGCAATTAATTAATTTTATTGTTTCTTTAGCCCCGATATATTCAACCTCTGCCAAATAGTTCTGATTTGGATTCATATAGTCCACTATATCATTCCTTAATAAATTCACTTCCACAGATTTACAGGAATACTACTTTACTTACACAAATCATACAGTACAATAGATTTAGATAGTTATTCCCGCCAATTATGTAGATCTTTATATCGATGTACTCCTTTATGTTTATAAACATTTGTAATAATATTATATAATACACTACAGGGTGTTTAAAATAATTTAAAAAGTATTTTAGTCCCATTTAAACACTTAGCAAAGTTTCAGTTTTAGCTGAGAAGCCTGGTTTTCAATTTAACAAATATGAAGATTTAATGGGGTTTAAATAACAATCAACTTTATTAGTCATTGTGTAAACCTAAACATCTTTATATATATATATAATTTTTATATTTAGTTCCGAATAAAGCTTACCTGGGACACACCTGGACCAATGATAAACGTCACTCCTGGAAGCAATGGAAATACGGGCATAGTAGTTTAGCTGTAGATGGTAAGGAGAATACCAATCTTCCTAACTGTGCTATCCTGGATAACTACTATACAGATAAACCAGTATGGATGGTGGATCTAGGAAAGAAGATCTCTGTGAACGGAGTCCTGATATTAACCTGGCAGGGTACAGGACAGGATAAGATTACTCCGTACACTGATTATGTACACAACCTGGATAAACTAAGTGTATATGTATCGGATAAACCTAAACTGGATTCTCCAGGTCTAGTAAATGAACCTAAGTGTGGAGTGATTTCAAGGATGAACACAGCTCTGTTTAATCCTAGATTACATTTTGATTGTCCAGAACCTGTGGAAGGAAGGTTTATCTATGTTAAAGCATCAGGAGTTCCAAACCGTTGGAAGAAACATTTCACAGTTGTTCTCTGCGAGGTTATGGTTTATTAATCAAACCTTCAACTTTGTCTTCCGACCTCAACCTTCCTTTAGTATTCATGTCAGATCTGTTCTTTTCAACATATTATACATACATCAACTAGACCTATGTTTCTCAAATCAAAAATGCTCTTTTTGTCAAGTAAGAATTCTTAAGAATTCGGCATTGTAGATTTCTCGATGGTTTATGATGTATTCGCGGCTGTGATTTAATATAGTGTACAAATACATTATCCTTTCCCTTATATACTTGTACACTCCATACACTCTTTCAATACTCCTTCAATATTCCTTCAATATTCCTTCAATACTCCTTCAATACTCCTTCAATATTCCTTCAATATTCCTTCAATACTCCTATAATACTCCTTCAATATTCCTTCAATATTCCTTCAATACTCCTTGAATGCTAGATCCTAACCTTCTTACTCTGCTATGGTTATCCTTTTCTCCTTCCTCTCCTCGTCCTAATCTACTTCCACTTATATCCCCATCTCTTACTTCCTCTCCTCGTCCTAATCTACTTCCACTTATATCCCCATCTCTTTCCTAATCTACTTCCACTTATATCCCCATCTCTTACTTCCTCTCCTCGTCCTAATCTACTTCCACTTATATCCCCATCTCTTACTTCCTCTCCTCTTCCTAATCTTCTTTCACTTATATCCCCATCCCTCACTTCCCTTCCACTTCCATCCTTAATTTGACTAAATAAAGCCCCCATTCTACCCGTTCCAATAATGCAAACTTGTTCAGCATACTTTGTTACAGTTAACAGTGAACTCTGTACACTGTTCAGTTTCTAATGTACTCTGTACACTGTACTGTTTAAAGTTTACTTTTTACAGTTAACAATGTATACTATGTACACTGTACACGTTAACAGTGTACTCTGTACTGGTTGCAGTGTACTTCGTGCAGTTTACAGTGTACTTTGTATAGTTAAGATTGTAATCTGTACAGTTTACAGTGTACAGTTTTCTCTTTAGTCTGTACAGTTTACACAAAATAATATAGATTTTTGTTCATCACATCCTGTAAGAAGTGGCAGCCAATATAAATATTTATTAGTTCTCACCCTTGCAAACTGCTTAGTGAAAACTGTGTTCGTGTACTATGTATATATACATAAAGCTTAAATCAATGTTAAATCAATGCTTGTACAGTATTTGTTTATAAAGTTGTACAAACCTCCAGAAATTATAAACGTACAACTCAAAACTTCAAAATGATCAAACTCTCAAAAAATTTAGATTTAAACCATTCATTTTAATTTTAATAAACTGCATCGGTTTTTTTCAATTGATTACGATTAAAGTTGTATGAAGCTTGTAGTTTTAATTAAAAATAAATTTTTGTGTATATTTTTTATTTTATTTACTCATCTGAAATTCTACGGGAATTTAAATAATATAGTTTTAACAATATTATTTTAAGTATTTATTGAAAAGTGTCATTAATAAAAACAAACTTTCAAGCCCCAGCGGTGTACATTTGAATATCCGAGCTGGGCCAACCTTTGCAGTCCTACTTTGGACTGTACCGCCAATTTACAATTACTAAAGCGGCATGAGGAGTGTGCTTTAGTTCCCCAAATGTCATGTTTTTGAATACTTTCTTTCAGTTCAGCATTTTACCGTGTTTAACTAGTATTTAACAAACTAGCTCGATTTTGTTTTATTTTCTAAAATCATAACTCTATATTTCCATTCTTGTATTGTTTTCAAAATATCCAATTCGTATTTATTATACAAATGTTGTTTTGAGTTCAGACTTAATATTATATTTGAGGATTTTGTATACAAGCTTATTTAGTTCCAATACACATTCAATACTCGCCTCAGGAATCAAATATTGAACCCAAGCTCTGTTGTATTAGTGTATTCTTCTATAATTTTGAAAAAGAAAATATTTAATGTTAAACAACATTAGGTTTTTTTACGTGAACGTGATTAAACTTTATCTGAAAACGTTTGAAGTCGGGTTTCCAGCGAACGAAAACTTTCGCGAAAAAAATGCGAAAATTTTCGTTCGTATTTCGTTAACTTTTTCGCGAAAATGAATTAAGCGAAAGAATGTTGCTCTGTAAGCTTAGCATAAGAACTTTTATGAAATCATAATTAACAATTTCTCTTCCGTATTTCTTTTGTTTTTTTTTCGCAAAATTTTTGCATTTATTTTCTCGCGAAAAATTAGCATTTTTTCGCGAAACAGATTAAGGCAAAATTTAGAGAAATAAGCGAAAATTTATGCATTTTTCTCGAGCGCACGAAATGCAAAAAATGCGAAATTTTACGTGAATTTTTTTTATTTTGGCGAAACGATTTATTCTTTTCGCTGGAAACCCCAGGCTGAAGTAGTTTTGTTGTTGATATCGGGATCAAACATTGATCTACATCTTGTGCAGACCTACGGATTAATGTTATCCCGTAGATGGCAAACCCCGTAGGGATAACTTTAATTGCGGAATCGAGCGGTAATTCTCAAATTTAAAAGTGCCCCAATCAAATATCAAGATCAAGCGTTCAAGATTAACGACCTTTGATTACTTTTCTATTTCTTAAATATTTGTAACCAGTTGTCGTAGATTAATTAGTCAAAGGTTTGCACCATCAAGTTGCAAAGATAAGGATTGGAAAGTATGTGGTGAGTGATTGCAGTTCCCTTTGACACTTTACGCCTATTATTACGTGCTAGTCTGCTTAGTATAACTTTAACTGTATAGTATACTGTGTTTATTTTAAATATTATATCTCTCTTAGTGTAGAAAAAACACAGAACCCTAAAGATTTAAAACCTATTAAAATGCTGAACTAGAGATAGTTTAAAGATTAACCGGTGGAAATTATTTCAGCGCTGAAGGATTAATTTACATTTTATTTAGGATCTCAGTAGAATCTTGAAACCTGTAAAAAAGTATTATAGTCTAATAATAGATATAAAAACCCAGAGGATATTCAGATATATACAGTTCTGCTTAATTCTAATGTTAAAAAACTTCTAATTTATAAATATATTATGCAGCTTTGAGCTTATCTTCTTTTTATTGAAAAACATTTTTAAGACGATTTATTGATAAGAATGAAGTAAATGAATCTCCCCTATCCTTCCATCTCTATCCCCTATTCTACCATCTCTCTCCCCTATCCTTCCATCACTCTCCCCTATCCTTCCATCTCTCTCCCCTATCCTTCCATCTCTATCCCCTATGCTTCCATCTCTATCCCCTATCGGCCTACCATCACTCTCCCCTATCCTCCCATCTCTCTCCCCTATCCT